GACGTTCACACACATGTACAACTTTTTTTGTTTCCAATAACTTTTCCATACATTTTACATCCAAAAGAACGGATTTTTTATTGTTTGTGAAAGGAAATGCAACTGAATTTATTGCTTTTTTTGGGCCGAAAAATGAAAAAAAGAGGGAATTTGGGGCTTTGATGAGGTGTTATGCATAATATGTAATTGAGAGAGAGTTGATTTACAAGTGTCTTTTAAGGGGCTTAAAATTCTTTTTTTTAAAACCTTTTTAAGGCTTTTTGAGGAAGCTGATTCTTAAAAAATGAAAAAATGACGAGTACTTTCTTTACAAAACGAAAAATGGCAAGGACTTTCTTTACAAGGCAAAAAAATGGCAAGAACTTTCATTAAAAATTAAAAAATGGCAAGAATTTTCTTTGTAAACTAAAAAAAAGAACTTGAGATAAAAAAGGTCAATTCTGGTTTTTTTTTGGCTTTTGTAGACTGTGAGCAGGGCCGGGCGGGCACAATCATTTTTTGTTCTGTAAACAAAGTTTTTGCCATTTTCTGTTCTATAAAGAAAATTTTTACCATATTTTTTGACATGGGTAATAATTAGCTAATTTTTAGTCTCTAATTCTCTCAATTTAATGGTTTTTTTTTATATAATGCATGTATAAAAAACGTCTTAAATGATATAATGACTAATCGTATATAAATGGTTTTGATAATTTCAAATTTTTGATATTTTTACTCGTCTAAAACATTTAAAGTTTTTGTAATTTTTTTAACAAATACGGTTTGAAAATTTGAAAACTTAATTTTTTTTAAATTTTGAAAATTCTCATCACCAAGAACATTGCATGACTATTGTTTTTCAGCTAATAAAGTTAAATTTCAAGTGTTTTGGGAAGAGATCGGAAGGATGAGAAGGAATCTCATTCTCGAAGCGAGTTTTCTTGTCTCTGCTCCGATGGGTTTAATTTGAATTTGGAAAATTTTTAAACCAGAATTTGCGGGTTTTTTTGGCTAATATTTGTTTAGGGCTTTTTTTGGAGAAAATATTAGAAAAGTACAGTCTTTATACGTCATTTGCGGTGAGGGGGGTGGGGTTATTTTTATTGTGTATTTATAATCCTTGGCTTACTTTTTTTCTAGCCTAGCCTACTCGAACTGGGACCGATACCATCATCCCCAGCTTTATTACTACCCCTACCCTTACCCCTACCCCCACCCCTAGCCTTGACTTTACTTGTACATTTACTTCTAGCTCTACCCGACTTGTATTCCTACCCTAACTCCTGCTTCCACCTTTACCCAAATCTCTATCTTTATCTTTATCACTACCCCTACCCCTTTCTTCAACTTTACCCCTACATCTACCTCTAACCCTGCCCTTACTCCTTCCTCCACCCGTACTTCTACCTTTACTTTTACCCCTACTCTAAGCCTTACTCTTATCCCTATTCCTTCTCCTCTCTTTACCCCTAGCTTTTCCACGGCTTCAAAAAACCATAAAAACATTGTCATAAAGAGTTGCGTCTTTAACTTTTGACAAGTGCAAAAATCTCGTCCGTCTTTGAAGCCCATAAATTTGCATGTTTAACAAAATGACTTTCCAAAATTTTATTTTGACATAGCGCCGCTCATACCTCCAATGACTCACAAACTTTTTTGGAGCTAAAAAAGCCGAAAAACCATTTCTTCGAAAGATTTTTGGTTTGAAAGGGCGATTTTAAACTGGTTTGGTAGCTTTTTGTACTTTTAAAGCGGTTGGAAATAAATTTTTTGAAGTTTTGTGGTTTGTAAACAAAGTTATTGCTGTTTTGCAAGTTGGGAAGAATTTTTTTGTCATCTTCTGTTTTGTAAACAAAGTTTTTTGCAATTTTTAGTTATGTAAAGAAAGTTTTTGCAATTTTTCAGTTTGTAAAGAATGTTTTTGCTATTTTTTGTTTTGTAAAAAAGTTCTTGCCATTTTATATTCTATGAACAAAGTTATTGCCATTTTTAGTCTTGTAAAGAAAGTTATTGCCATTTCTAACCCATGTTCGATTAAAAATTCAAGTTTTTGTACTTTTGAAAGCCCAGCTTATGTTATTCATAACTTTTTTCTGCGAACTTTTTGTACTTTGAAATGTTGGAAGTGTTCAGAAATTGAAAGGAACAAAATGTCAGGGATGTCAAATGGAAATACTCCCAACATATTCTTCTACTCTTTTGTTTTTTTTTCGAATAGGAGTTGAAGGCGAATTTTATTTTTTGAAAGTTTTTTATTTTAAAGGGCTGTAAAAAAAGTTTTTGCAATTTTTTAGATTGTAAAGAAAGTTATTGCGGTTTTTAATTTTTTAAAATGCTTGTTGTCATTTTTTACTTTGTAAGGGAAGTTCTTGCCGTTTTTGTTTTGTAAAGAAAGTTCTTGCCGTTTGTCATTTTGTAAAGAAAGTTTTTGCTATTTCTTGTCTTGTAAAAAAAGTTCTTGCCTTTTTTAGATTTGTAAAGAAAGTTCTTGCCGTTTCTAGTTTTGTAAAAAAAGTTCTTGCCATTTTTTGTTTTGTAAAGAAAGTTCTTGCTGTTTTTCATTTTTTAAATAAAATTCTTGCCATTTTTTAGGACAGGGGAGCGTAGGGCATCTATATTTAGCCAAAGTATGTTACCTTTCCTGCTATTTTCGAACTTCTGTTTACTAACCAAACCTTTTTTTAACCACTGTAAACAACATTCCGGACCATTGACAATGCCCATTTTCTTCCCAAAAACACCGTTTTGAGGATGAAAATAATTCTCGGCGCGTTTCCAATCTTTTTTTGTTATATGATTCACATTTTTCACGGCCAAGAAAGTATTTTCGCCTCTTTGTGTCGATTAAGTCATAAAATTTTGGAGGGGGGGGGGTGTTGTATACAATGAAACATGATTTTTTATAGCGGCGGGAAATTCAATGCATTAGTCAAATTTTTGAAGTTTTTTGAAATTTTGTTTGATTTTGATAATATTTGAAGTTATTGTACGAAATTTGAAAAATATTGATTTTCAAAAAAAAATTAAGTTGACAGTAATTTCAATTTTTAAGAATTATTCCACGGTGACGCCTTCCTGAATAGGGGTGAGAAAGGGCTGTCTTTTTAGGGTCGGCCCTAGGCTATCGGCCCGGGACTCAACGTGTAGGTCCGGCCCGTTTTCTTTTTTTCTCAGGCCATTCCAGAAAAAATATAGACCCGGCCCGTTTTAAAAAATTTTAAAAAAAATTTTATGCTAGCGCCTGCTTTTCAAACTTGACCAGCCGTCTGGGGCTAACTTTCATGCTCGGTCTGTGTTAATTTTAGCTCAAGGCCGGGATGATAGTAGGGCCGAGCTGAGCTGAATCTCACCAACAAGGCCGTTTTTCACCCCTATTTTTCACACTCGAATAAAAAATTGTTGTAGTATGATAGGATATAGTTATGATATATAATAGTTATTACATAGCATGATAGTAAATTTGATAAGTTTGTTTTTTTTTAAATTTTACGTTATTACTACCATTATGTTCAACGTGCTTCTCATGTTTCTATCACTTTAAAATGCTAAAACTAATTTTGAATGTTGTTTAGATTGGAAGGCGCTTTGTCCCTTTTTACCTTCCATCGGGACACACATATTGCCATTGGGACGGCTGTTACATCGATACCACGCCTTTCAATCAGGGATATTGCTAGAGAGTGATCGGGTATAGCTAACGATTGCTCATAGCGAAGGAGTGATATATTGAGGTAAGAGGGAGAGGTTTGAAGAAGAATTGGGGTGGGTATAGTTTAAAAAAATAGGTATGATATGAAGAGTAGGATAGAGGTAAGGTATATAAAGGAGGCTACGGGTATGGTATATAGAGAAAGAAGGGTATATATAGCAGCATAGAGGTAAGGTACACAGTGGCGGAGAGGTAAGGCATATAGAGAAAGAAGGGTATATATAAACGGATAGCCAAGAAAAGATCGCTGATTTTCAAGAGTCAACAGACTGATCTGTTGGCGATTCGAGAAGATCTGACCTTAGGAAAACGATCGCTTTTGATTCCCGAAGATATTGAATGAGTGTGGTCTAACTGATAGACTTTAGGTTAGAGAAAGTTAGATAAATACCTCTTAGTTCAGGTAGGATAGAGAAAAGCAGAGAAATTCTGAAATATTGAGGTAGGCTTGGGATAAAAGGGGTGGAAAATTGACTACTTGGAAAGAACCAAGTTTTGGCTTGGTTTGGACGGTCAAAGAGGTAGTAACCACAAACGTTATGGAAGCAAGAGGAAGTAAAAACTATAATAGAGGTAATATCAGGTTGTCCAATATGGATGAGCCATGCAAAGCGCCTAACTTTGAAAATGTGCCATTCATATTAAGACAAGCTGATAGAAAACGGTCAAAGAGGTAGTAATCACAAAAATAAAATAATTTAATTCAAAGCTAAGCTGTAATATAGCCGTTTTACTAAGCCTTGTCTTGGTTATAGAAAAAAAGATAAAGATAAAACACTAAGCATCTTCTTTCCAGATCACTAGAAGACAAGAAGGATCATATTCAACATTTGACTAAAGAAAGATACAGCTTTGAGGATTATTTCTAACAGCAGGTCAGAGAAATAGACGGCTTTTACGATCATATCCAACTGTTGAATCGAGAAAGAAAGTGGCTAAAACATTTGGTCAGGAAAAGATCAAACCAAAAGGTTAGGCCGAGAAGATACTGCTCTATCTAACCGGTCCGAAGGCATTTGCTCTATATATCCCAGCTCTCAAGGGATCACTTCTCTTCCTAGGGCTAACAAGAGACCACTGTCTCTTCATACGTCCAACAAGAGATCACTGTCTCTCTCTACGGCCGACAAAAAGCCAATAAGCCATCGCAAGAGATCACCACTGCCTCCACCCTTCAGGCAGAGAAACGATCCGGCTCCCGACGGCCTCAACAAAATCTCGGCAAAAAGCAAAAGTTTCGCTATTTGGCCCCTTTGGCTAAACGAATCCACCCCCGTTTCGACGCCTCCGCTGCACCTATCAACATCCAAACATGGTCGCCATCACCCTGGACATTGTCTACCAGGGCAAGGGCGTCCGCAAGACGATGAAGTTCGAGCCCAGTAACTTGGTACAGGATGTGATTCGGATTGCCAAAGACAAGGTTGGGGCTTCTGGTGCAGGTAAGGGTTTTGAGAGGGTTGGTAGGGCGATAGGTGGGGGTTTTTGAGAATTTAGAATTTTTTTTCAAAAAATTTTGATTTGGCCAGCTTTTTAAAAGATAATGCATTAGTTTGGGCATTTTTGATTTTGTAAAGAAAGTTATTGCATTTTTTGTTTAGTAAAGAAATTTTTTACCATTTTCTATTTTGTAAAGAAAGTTCTTGCGATTTTAAATTTTGTAAAAAAAGTTCTTGCGATTTTTATCTTATAAACAAAGTTTCGGCAGTTTTTAAAAATGGTAAAATATGACGCGGCCTCTATCTACGGCAGTAAAATTATAATTTTTTTATTAAAACGCGAACATCAGTTTATGTCGCTATGTCTATACAATTAACAGGGGGGACTAGTTCACATTTTGAAAAAATTTTTTTTGGCTGGGAGGGGGGAGGGAGTATAAAAGTAGGATAAAAATATTTTGGAAGTTGTAAGATATGCTGATAATAATAATTTTTAAAAATAAAAAAAAATTTTCAGCTCACGACTACGGACTGATCAGACTTGATGAAGACCCATCAAAATCATATTGGCTTGAAGGCAGTAAACCATTGGACTACTACTTACTCAGAAATAATGTAAATTTGCATTTCTATGGATTTTGGGTAGGGTAGTGTAGAGCAAGGTAGGGTCCAGTAGGGTACGGTAGTGTAGGATGGAATAGGGTATTGTAGGATTGGGTAGAGTAAAACACATTAGAGTAGGGTAAAGTAAAGTACAGTAGAGTAAAACAAGGTACGATCCGATAATACAACATAACGCTACAGAATGATTTTGTAGGTCTATGGTACTGATACAGTACGTTTTTTCAAAATTTGTCGAACTTTTTGATTTTTTGCATTGAGATAAACAAATTTTTGATAGCCGAAAAAAAATCGTTTTTTTTTGAGTAACAAAGAAGAATTGGTTTGTTGTAATGAAACAGCTGTCAATTTGGAACAAATGCTTAAAACTCTAGTAAATTGTGTTATATGCAAATGAATACTGAACAGGTTTATTACACATTCATTTTGGCACTAATAAGTAGGGAAATGAAGGGTTTTAAAGGGTTTTGTAGGCATATGAAGGGCTTTAAATCAACTTTTGGAAAAATTTTGAAAAATGTTTTTTTATTTGAAATTTAAACAAAATTTAAAATGAAAATTTAAAAATTGATAAAACTATGAAAGTTTGATACTTTTACTACATTTATTACCCAATTTTATGGCAATTTACTTCCTCTTGCAACAACTTTTGATCTTTTTCTGCCCTTGACCCATCTGATGTCAAGTGTAATATCGACTTGCCCTAAAGATCTTAAAACAACAATAAAAAGGTTTAAACTAACATTTATATATAAAAATTGGTATATAAAAGTGACACATTAAACTACCAGCTTAAAAATTTCAAATTTATTAACAATATGTACAATTCTTTGGTAGGGGATACGGTATTTACAGTAAAAAAAATTTAAATAAAAGTGCAAGTTGCAGTAGAAAATAGAACAAAATTCTTTATGTACAGTTTTCTATGGTCATTTTGAGTATGTACAAGAAGCTTCGACCATATTTGATTTTTTCGTTTCTAGCAAGATATATCCGTATTGGTAGGGTGGTAGACGTATATTACAGTAGGCTGTTATTTGAATAAGACCGGGGTGGGTTCTGGGTTGAATACAACTGAAATGGAAGTGTCATAAGTAATGTTAAGATGATATGTCAATTTTTTAAATTTTGTTTGAAAAAAGTTACAGTAACCTACAGTAGGATTTTTAAAAATGTTACATTAACTCAAAAATAAAAATTATTAAAAAAGGTCACAGTACTTTAGCGGACTGAACATGATATTTCATTTTTTAAAATTTTGAGCAAAAAAAGTTACAGTAGCCTTCAAAAACCTACTTTTCGACTGAAATTTGGGGTTGTCATTAAAGCATCGGATGGCTTCAAAGGCTTCTGGAGCCTTGTTCATATGGCCAGGTTGGGCCATCATGAAGCCGACTGGTGATAACCATGAGATTTTTGTTCCGACCATAATGTGTTAGGTTTCTGGAAAAAAATATTTTGTAAACAAAGTTCTTGCGGAATTTAAAAAACACGAATTAGTGCAATATTTTGCGAGTATGGGCTTATAAGCAAGGCTGTAAAGAAAGTTTTTGCAAAATAAAAATTTTTTTTGTAAAGAAAGCTTCTGCTGCACACTTAGCAGTTCTTTGATATGACACTGTACTAGTACTAAATAGTATTATTTGGTATAGTACCAGTACTACTATTAATACAATATAGTACTAGGAATTCTCAAACTAAACCCAGAAGCGTCAAAGTTCATGCTAGCACCCAAAATATCCTTCAAACCCAGAAAATTTGCCTTCTATTTATATTATCCACGTTGCACGCTGGTAGGAGGAGCCAACAAACTAAAGAATAACAACTCTTTTGCACGTTTTCTTAATGCGCACAACGAAAAATGGCGTTTGTTACAGCTGGCAGGGTACAATAACATAATTAATCAAGAGTTGAACGTCTCCTTGGCTTACTGTGAACCTAGCTAGTGACTCTAGCTTTGATTTACTATGACTTTCTTGAAGTACTGACTGTAGTTTAAGATTACAATGACTCTCTTAACCTTACAATGACTCCCTTAAAGCTACTGACTCTAGTTTAAGTTTAATATAGCTTCCTTATAACTTTACAATGACTCTATGTTAACATCGATATCATTTTAAACCCTATCCTATCGTTGTAACCCTACTTTATGGTAAGATTACAACGATAGGATAGGGTGCGCTTTAACATCAAAAATTAGTCGACAGTAAAAAGGACATGTCAGTTTTGATTATGGGGGTGATAAAAATGATAAGAGATGACAATTTAAAAATGGCGGTAAAGGGTTAGAAATGGCAGTTTAAAGGCAAAAAATGTGAAAAATTGAATTTTTAAGGGCAAAAGTTCTCTAAACACGGCTTTTTAGGCTTATATTTTATTTAGCAAATAAACTAAAGTGACATTTTAACACTAACATATATTAAAAAATGGCATTTAAAAATTAAAAAATGGCAATTTTAAAGGAAAAACGCAGAATTTTGATCCAAAAAATGGTGAAAAAACGAAAAAAATAAACTAAAATGCCATTTTAAATACAATCCTTCAAGAAAACTTTGAAGTTATTTTTAAAAAAATTAATTTTGTTATCAAGAACAGTCAAAAAACCTTGGCCAAAACTAGCGAAAACCTCAATTTATTTTAACTTTTGGCCTTCAAAAACAATTGACGTAAGTATAAATCTGGGAAGGCAAATGAAATTAATGACAGCTGAAAAGAGTAGGAACGTTGAGGAACGTTCTTTACGTTTTTGAGATTTCACAAACGTTCCAATTCTTCTTCCGCTTAAGTATGTCAGGTGAACTATAGTCAACAAGGGTTCGGATGGACTGGTTTGAAGGCTTGATTCATGGGATATTGTTGTTAGGATCAGAGAAGACTTCAAAGAATTAGTTTACAAATGCAAGGAAAATATAAAAATTAAAGGAAAATTTTTTAAAATTAAGTTAAAAAACATTGAAATAAGCCTACAAGTTTAAAATTATGCTTAAAAGATTAAAAGCGTTCAGGCTTAGGCTTAGTAGGCTTAGGCTTAGTAGGCTTAGGCTTAGTAGGCTTATTCTTAGTAGGCTTAGGCTTAGTAGGCTTAGGCTTAGTAGGCTTAGGCTTAGTAGGCTTAGACTTAGTAGGCTTAGGCTTAGTAGGCTTAGGCTTAGTAGGCTTAGGCTTAGTAGGCTTAGGCTTAGTAGTCTTAGGCTTAGTAGGCTTAGGCTTAGTAGGCTTAGGCTTAGTAGGCTTAGGCTTCGTAGGCTTATGCTTATTAGGCTTATGCTTATTAGGCTTAAGCTTAGTAGACCTTAACATAGTAGGTTTAGGCTTAGTAGTTAAAACTCATAAGAAATCAAAGCCCAATCTTTAAAAAACAACCAAACTTGGTGGTTCTCAAGCCAAAGCATGTCAACCTCCATCTGATAACTCACTATCATGGAGTGTACTTTCATGTCAACGCTTTTTATACGGTCACATGTAAACAAAATGAGGTTCACTTCGCAGCGTTTCTCATTGAAACGCACGAAAAGTGGGGGAAACAGCCGGCTAATAAGGTCACATTTGTTATGATTCCAGCGAGTGTAATGTCAAATGACTCAAAATTAGTAAAAAAAAACAAAAAATGGTATAAACAGATATCAAACTTGACATAAAATTTTAGGATTAGCATTGAATTTTAGTTTCAGCACACTATTTTAAGCTTAGAACATAATTTTAGGCTTAAGGAGAAGTTTTAGGCTTAGCAAACTATTTTCTGTTTTGAATACACTTGTAGGCTTGGAGAACAGTTTTAGGTATAGAAAGCGATTTTTAGGCTTAGCACACTATTTTAGGGTTAGAACACAGATTTAGGCTTAGCAAGCTAGGATTAGCGTAAACATTTTAAGCTTAGAATACAATTTTAGGCTTACGAGGCTTAAAGAGCCGTTTATGGTCTAGCAAAATGTTTTAGGCTTAACAAAACGCTTAACGCTTATCTCTAAATTTTAGGCTTAGCAAACTATTTTTGGTAGCATCAATTATAAGACAAGATATAAATTTATAAGGTATAAACAAAATATGATTCCATTCGAAAAACATAAAAAAGGGTTATATAACTTTTTGCTGTATTACCTAATTTTATGTTATAACAGGATAGCCTTAGAGAAATTGCAAGAAATGTTGTTACGCAACTTTTTCTTATGTAATATTATGATTTTATATAATATTTGCCTCGATGTAAAACGACCCAACAAATTACTGCGAGTACGGCAATCTTGCTCTAAATTTCTGCAAGGGATGGGTAGGGTAGGGTTGCGTTTTTGTTGGGTAAAGATAAACTTTTTTCTTGACTTTTTATAGGTTTTGGTAGAGCTACAGTAAATTTGAGTAGGCTGGCTAATCAGGGCTGTAATCGGGTTGAAAAGGGTAGGGTAAGGCTGGATGTGATAGGGTGGGGTAGGGTAAATAAGGGTGGAATAAGGGAAAGTAGGGTCGGGCGAAAGCAGGGACAGGGAAACTCACAAGTAGGGTACATGTAGGCTGTTACAAAGCTAGGGTAGATTAGGATGTGGCAGGCCAGGACAAGGCAAGGAGATAAGACCAGGCGAGGCAAAATAGGTTAGGGTAAAGTAAGATATGCTTGTGTAGGGTGCAGTAGAATAGGGTAGATTAAAGTAGAATAGGGTAGGGTGTGTTTTTTTATGTTTTTTTAATTTTAAATTTAAAAAATTACGTTCAGGATGTCCTGGAGCTCCAAAACAAGATCCGTCAGATTCGAGTCCGTACCGTGGACGGTAGCAGTGTGAAAACCGTGAATGTGGACGAATCGAAGCCAGTCAAAGACCTAATGGTTACAATTTGTGGCAAAATGGGACTATCAAACCACGAAGAGTACTCATTGGTACGCGATTCACGGTTTGCACCATTGAAACGGGATCAAAGTTTGAATTCGATTAATGGAGAACAACAATATAATGGCAGTAACACGTTTATGAACACGATTGGCCGAAGAAGAGAGAAACAACAGCAACAGCTGCGGGCGAAGCTACACACTGACGATGATGTTTGTTGGCTGGATTCTACCAGAACTCTACGGTAATATTTTTTAAAAATTTTTATGGCTTGTTAAGCTTGATTGTTGTAAAATACGCCACTATTACACTCATGATGACATTATTTTTAAAACCTATAATAATATTTTTAGTGAACAAGGTATTGGAGAAAGTGAAGAACTGATCCTCAGACGCAAATTCTTCGTCAGTGACACCAACTTGAACACAAATGACCCAGCCCAACTTGGAATGTTGTATGCTCAATGCCGTGACGGTGTAATCGATGGTACTCATCCAGTATCAAGAGAAATCGCCATCAAGTTGGCTGCACTTCAGTGTGCTATCGAGTACGGAGAGTATCAGGAGGGCGTGGAGAAGAAGTTGAAGTAAGTTTTGTTGTGGTAGCGGGCGGTATTGTAGGGTTGGGTAAGGTACTGTAATACATAATACGATTCTGTGGGGTAGGGTAAGGTAAAGTAGGGTAGGGTACTGTAGGGCAAAGTACGATACTGTAGTGGAGGGCTGTAGGGTAGGGTAAAGTAAGGTGGGGTAGCGTACTGTAAGGCATAGTACGATGCTGTAGAGTATAGTAGCATTCTTAAAAGTTGTTACGGTAGGGTAGGATACTGCAGGGTAAGATACTAAATGGCAGGTTAGGGTACTTTGATGTAGGGTACTGTAGGCTAGAATACTGTAGTTGAGGTACGGATACTGTACTGAAGTTTCATATTTTTTGTATTGTGACATGGCAATCCTACTGTATAATGACACAGTACTATTAGCATAGTTTTGAACGAAAAGCTTACTGTAACAGTAAATGTAAGAACATAGTAGTACTGTCATGGCATGCTAACCCTACTATATGATGTTATAGTAATACAATCGTAGTTTTTGAGCAAAGATCTTACTGTAATAGTGAATATGAGAACATCGTAGTACTGTAATTTAAGTTTCGGTTAAAAATGTAAAACAATATGTTATAGTATGCGCGACCTCTTGCCTAAAGAATACGCCAAAGCGAAGGAGCACGAGAAAAACATCGTGGAAGAATGGAAAGAGCTGAACATCTACAACGAGAAGGTACAGCTCCAGAAGAAGTACTGCGAAGTGTGTCAGAGTCTACCCACCTACGGAGTGACTTTCTTCTTGGTCAAGGAGAAGGTGCCGGGCAAGAACAAACTGATCCCAAGACTTTTGGGTGTCAACAAGGACTCGGTACTGAGAGTGGACGAAAGAACCAAACAAGTACTCAAGGAGTGGCCGTTGGAACAAGTACGACGCTACGCTCCGGCTGCTAACCTCTTCACTTTGGACTTTGGAGACTACCAAGACGGCTACTACTGCGTAAAGACCCCAGATGGCGAGAAGATTGCCGCCCTTATCAGTGGATACATCGACATCATCCTCAAGAAGAAGAAACTACAAGACCATCTCGGAATCGAAGGAGACGAAGGCTCCACCATGCTTGAAGACCAAGTCGCTCCAGCACGTGCTACACTAATTGGGCACGGTGAAATCTCTCGTCCTCAACAAGTTCAAGGCCTACCTCAAGGTGCCCTCCGCTCTCGTAGCAGCACTCCAAGTGGTCTACCCAATGGTGCTCAGTATGGTGCTGTCTCCGGATTCGTCACAACCCAAGAAATGCCACGAAGCGAGAAGGTACGCTACGTCAACCCACGTGAACGTGCTCAACGTGCTTTGATCGGAACGATCGAAGCCACAATGAGGGCTGTTCAAGAAGCCGAAGAAGAGATCAGACGTCCACCTCAGATCGATCTGTTGCGATTCGAACCCTCACGACGTGAGTGGCGAGTTGAGGTCGAGAAGGAGGCTGTCAGTGACCGATTGGCCGCTATGGGCGCAGCCACCGCCGAAGTCGTTCAACTCACTGCCATTCCTGATGATACTGACAGTCGTGTTGGTACAGCCATTGCCACTATTGGTAGCAACCTGCCCGAAATGGGCCGTGGAGTCAGAGAGCTGGCCCATATGATGCCCGAAGAGGAACGACGTGGTGATCTGATCGAAGCCTCGAGACGTCTGATGAACGCCTTCGGCAGCTTCATTGACAAGGTGCGCCCAGACCAGCAGGAGAAGCGGGCCAACATCCTCTCGGCCGCTTCAGCCGTCGGCGAAACCTCTCACGACGTGATCAAGACGATGCGCACGGAGACCCGCGAAGACCGTGAGTACCACGATCAGCTGATCCAACGTGCCAGGAACGTTGCCACCAACACAGCGTCACTTGTCATGCATGCTAAGACTATCTCCAGCGATTGTGCCGACGAAGGTCTGAAGAACGAAGTCATCTCAAGTGCTACTCAAACAGCCTTCGCTACTTCTGAACTTGTAGCTTGCACCAGAGTCGTCGCTCCAACCGTGGAACATCCAGAATCTCAAGAACGACTCACCGATGCGGCACAAAACGTTGCTCGCACGGTAGAGAAACTTGTAGTGGACTCGAAGGAAGCTACTCGCTACTCAACCTCAGGCAATGGAGAACACCAGATTGGTGACCTGAACGCTGCGGCACGTCAAGTGACCAGAGCCTTGGACGATCTGATCGACCACATCCAAGCCTGCCCCAGAAGCCAGCTAAACCGTCGTCACGAAGAGAACTACAACTACGAGGAGGTGCTTCGTAGCAGCAACCGTGTCATCACTGGAGCTCAGCCGGAACGCGACGCCAACCAAGCCATCCGCCACTCCAGAATCCTGGTGGAACAGTTCGAGAACGGCGCCGAAGCTGATCCCAACCAACGTGACAAGCTTTTGAATGCCGCGAGGAATGTGGCTCAGGCCACCTCGAACATGATCACGGCTACACAGGAAGCTCAAAGTCGACCACAAGAAGCCGAAGCCCAGATTGCTCTGAAGTCAGCGGCCGAGAATCTGGTTCAGGTAAGCCGGCGTGCTCTTTATGACATTTGTTATGATGGTCAACATTGTGATGGTCATTTTGGTGATGTAGATAGTGTTGATCATTACCTTTTTGATGATATAGAGATAGTTAACCATCAAAAATATGATGATCAACATAAAGTTAACCATCATAAATGTAGTGATGATCAACATTATTCAAGTCATAAAAAGTTTGTTAATGGTCGTGATGTTAACTATTGTTGTTTTCCTCATACCCAAGATAACATTTTACAATTTGAGACTAATAGTAACATAAAAAATGGCAATATGAGCCTAAAAAATGAGTTTTTTGGTCAAAAAATGTCAAATTTTACCGAAAAATTCGAGAATTTTCTCAAAACTCATCAACTTTCTCTTTCGAAAACTCTATTTTATACCCAAAAACCTAGCTTTTCAAAAAGAAAAAGATGTCATAATGATTCTCAAAATTATGATTTCAATAAAAATTTTGGTCATTTCGATTTATACGAATTTGGACGGCTTAAAAATGTCAAACATTGCGACCAAAAGACTCTTGGAGAAATCCAAGAAGAAGGTCGTGATGTATGGCACGTTCAGTTCGATGAATCTGACAAAAATTTAAGTCAGAATGACTGTCATGGTGACGTTTTTAAGAATGGTCAGTTTGAAAGGCTCCATGACATTTTTAAAAACTGTCACGATGACGGTCAAAATGACACCTTTTTTGTAAGTCATGATGACAGTCATAATGACACCTTTTTCGAAAGTCATGATGACAGTCAAAATGACAAAGTAAATATTGCTCAAGTTTATAACCAAGAATACCGTAATCATATCAAAGAAAAATGTACTCAACAGAGTACGCGGAGTACTGTAGACTTTTACAATCATACTGTAAAACCAGTACTAAAACGACACGATTACGGTAATCGCGGTTATCAGCTGAACAGCTTTGAAAAAGACATTAGTATTGTAAGTAGGTGTAATAGCCAAAAGTGGGACGACGGTAATTACAGATTACTGGTCGAAACCGCTGTGTAAAGAAAGTTTCTTCGTTTTTTGATTTGGAAAGGAATTTTTTGCTATTTTTTGAAAATTTTAGTACCAAAAGACTGAAAAACAGCGATACCATTTTTGAACATTACCTTATTTACAGTGTAATACGATACTTACTGGTGTATGTTGCGATACCTTACCTTACTACCCTGTGATAAAAGATATAACTCCGGTTTAACATGTAAAAACGGTTAATTTACAAATAAGTATTGCTGTAGTGACCTAATCGTAACGTATTTTCTTCTTTTCTTTTTGGTACTTTTGGTACTGTTTTTGGTACTACTGTTACTGTATTGGTACTAAAGGTACTTTTATGTTTTGGGTACTTTTTAAAATAGTGTAAAACGCTATTTTTGTTATCTTAACACAATTTTTTACAAATGATACTAATGGTACTACTGGTACTAAAGGTGTTGTTTTTGGTTACTTTAAAACAGTATAAAAACGTATTTTTTATCATCTTGACACATTTTTTTAAAATGGTACCAATGGTACTACTGGTACACATTACAAAAAAATTTTATTTGTACCAAAAGTACCAAAATCAATTTCCCAGCTAATATTAACACGTTTCACACATTTCTTTTCCCATTCTAACAGTTTCGTTTTGTGTTCGATTTTCCTGGCTTGACCGTTTGAACAAATTTGCATATTTTATGCTTTCAGCAACCACGTCATTATTACGCCAAGTCCTAAGGACACCCAAATCTACTATCCTATCATATTCTATCCTGTCTATATGCATAATCCAATGTTTACTGCGGTTTTTGGTTGGTTTTTAGGGGATGAACTTTGAAAATTTTTGAAAAATTTGGATTTTGAAGGGGTTTTTTGGTCTGAAGCTTGTGGAAAAAAGTGTCATAACTTTTGAACTAAAAATGGCAGAATAATGATATTTGGCATAAAAATGTATATTAAAATGGCAATTATTAGCAGGGCAAGATTTTACAAAAATTTCATTTTGAAATTTTTAAATTTATGAAAAAATGGCGTTTTTATCGATTTTTTGACCTAAAATCAAAGAAAAATGTGTCATAACTTTCTGATGGGATTCAATTTAGATTTGAATGTGACACTGTAGATAATTTAGTCTATTGTGAATATTTTAAGTCTAATATTAGTTACAAATTTGGCTAGAAAGTTTACGAAATATCGAAAAATAAAAATTTTTTCTCATTTTTCCTCTCTGAAAGTTATGAAAAAGCTGTCATAACATAAAATCTAGCCATGATAAGACCAAAACCTTTTATCATATGACTTTCCAGTCCATTTCGAATATTTTAAGTCTAAAACCAAAAAAATTGGTCGAAAAAAGCGCGAGTTATAGCTAATAATTCGACGGGTTTCGGGGGATTATTAACGCTCTTCCGGTTTCGCGCAATTTTTGATCCGAAAAACCTTTGAAATTTTGAAATTTTTTCGAATTCTCGAAAAAGTTACAATAGCCGATGGCTTACACGCATTTTCGTTGGAGATACGAAAAGATTGAGCTTTACGGCAAAGTAGGTGATTTGGGTGGTTTTTGGGTGAAATGGTACTGAAGGTACTGTATAGTAGTTCGGGCTACGGTACTATGTTTTGTAAAGAAATTTCTTGGGGTTTTTTTGGCCTGTAAAGAAAGTTCTTGCCATTTTTTGCCTTGTAAAGTAAGTTATTGCCATTTCTGATCCTGTAAAGAAAGTTCTTGCTATTTTGAAAAAAAAACGTTTAAAAATCCTTCAAAAATCTTAAAATCGACCAAAAGTCACAGTAACCATCCTATCTACCACTATACATTTCGGCTTTACTATAGTAAATCTGTCTATGCACGCTTACTCTCTTCTTACTGTAGCACTAGTAGTTTACTATCTATATCTTTATCAGTCGCACTATTCTGACGCTATATTTAAGACGATTTACTACAGTAAACCCCGAGCCTTTGAGACATATGATTTTTGATTACTGTAGTTATTTTTGTTTAAGATTACTGTAGTTTTTAAGACTTTATACCACGTTACTGTAGTTTTTAACATTTTATCACATATTACTGTAGTTTTTAAGTCTTTATATTATATTACTGTAGTTTTTAAGATTTTATCATATATTACTGTAGTTTTTAAATTTTCCTACGAGATTACTGTATTTTTTAAGATTTTATGACATTACTGTAGCTTTCAAGATTTTATCATATATTACTGTAGTTTTTAAGCCTTTATACAATATTACTGTAGTTTTTAAGATTTTATCACATATTACTGTAGTTTTTAAGCCTTTATACAATATTACTGTAGTTTTTAAGATTTTATCACATATTACTGTAGTTTTTAAGACGTTATACCATATTACTGTAGTTTTTAAGCTTTTATCACATATTACTGTAGTTTTCAAGCCTTTATACCATATTACTGTACTTTTTAAGACTTTATATAATATTACGGTAGTTTTCAGATTTTTGTATGAGATTACTGTATTTTTTTAAGACTTCAGGTCGTATTACTGTAGTTTCTAAGACTCTGTACCATATTACTGTAGTCTTTAATTTTTTTATGAGATTACTGTATTTTTTAAGACTTTATGTCATCTTGCTGTAGTTTTTAATTTTTTTATGAGGTTACTGTCGCTTTTAAGCCTTTCTACCATATTACTGTAGTTTTTAATAATTACTTTTTGTATTGAGATTACTGTAACAAATTTGCACGATATCACATTTTTTATCAATTTTTGCGTAAAATTACTGTAGCTTTTAAAATTTTTCTTCTGAGATTACTGTAGCATTTTAAGTTTTATAATACAATCTAGCCATTTCTAATCAATTTTTTTTACTAATTCTGGTCTTTTTTCTCTTTGTTCTTGTTCTATTTCAATCTTTTTTGGTTTTATTTCTACTTATTCTAGTCTTGTTTCTATCATTTTTAGTTATATATATACTTATTTTAGCCTTGTTTCTACATATTCTGGTTCCATTTCTATCTTTTTTACTTCTATTTCTACTTGTCCTAGTTTAATTTGACTTATTCTAGCTTTATTTCTATCTTCTTTAGTTCTATTTCTACTTATTCTAGTCCATCTCTACCATTTTCTAGTCCCAAATTGTACCATTCAGTATTGTAAAAGTTGAATAAAATTTTTTACCGTTCATTTTGTAATTTTTTTTGAATTTTTCCATGGAAAATCCCTTAACCAAAGAGTGCTGAGTTGTTTTTGGCTTCGGTTGTTTTTGCGCAACAGTCCGGTTTACCCACTTTACGATTTCACAAAAGTTTTTCTATAGCTCACCATAGCTTGAAATCTTTGACTTTAGTTAGCTATAGTATAATGAGTAATACTGTAGAGTTTAGTTACATTTAGTTGAGTTTGACAGGTTTTATGAGACTTTTTTGATATTGTAGTAGGCAACCATTGGCGTCGGCCAAGTTTGACTTAAGTTTTTTCAAAAACTAAGAAAGCTAGGGCGATAAGCTAACATAAATAGATAGACAAGACTTTTTCAGAGATTTTAAGACCAATTTCATCATTTTACAACATAGGTACAATAAGTTATGGCACTTTTTCCAAGTAACACCAAAAATATAAAATTAAGCCAAAATTTTTAAAAAATCAAAGATAGGTTAGTTTTAAGAACATATAAGTATATATCAAATAAAATATAAACTTAAGAGCTTTTCCTTTCCATCTGTAGCCTCTCAGACAACGCACTTTTTCCATTTTCCAGTTAAAATTCAAAAAAAATTACAAAATTTCGGACGAAAATTTTTGTTTACACTACATTTTCTACCATCATTCGCTATCTTCTTCCCACTTTCCTTAGGACATTGGTTATATTTTAATTTTTTGCAATAGTAAATTACCGTTTTTACATGAAAAATCGATTTTAAAACAGGAAATTTTAAGAAATTTGAGAAAAAAGCCGAAATTTTGGTGGTGTTAGCCAGAAAATCGAGTAATATAAAAAAAGTGGTTGATAAGAATTTTTTATTTTTAATTATAATTGATGAAAAAAGAAATGTTTAGCTAATTCAAAAAGATTTTTAAAAAATATTTTTTGGAAAGAAAGTTATTGCGTTTTGTTTCTGGAAAATATCTGCTTTTTGGAGATTTTTTGAGAAAAATCGGCCATTTTGGCCAAAATCGTTTGATTTTAAGTCCAAAATGATATGATACAGTATCAAAACAGTAGCAAAGATTCTGCAGAGTAAAACTAAAGTGTCATTAGCTTGATTTTTTATTTAAAAAGTTGTAAAAAATTTAAGAAAAAGTGCGAAATTTGAGAGAAAAATAGGCTAATCTCACCAAAAAAGGCTAATTTGCCTAAAAATCAATAGCAGCTTTATAACGTAGATAACAGAATAGCTAGAAAACCCAAGTACAGTAAGAAAAAATACCCACACTCCCGATCCAACCTCTAAACCGGACTGTTTTGCAGGCAACGAATGCCGCCGCCAACGAGCGCATCGCCGAAGACTCGTTTCTGGGCCTAGAAAGAGCGGCCAAAAACGCGTCGGCCGCCGTCACACAAACCGTGTCGGCCGTGAATTCGGCTCAGCCCCACATTCAAAATCATAAAACCGTGGAGGAGTTGATAATCGAGTCGCAGACCACCAGCGACCATGTTCGACCGGTCATTTCGGCGATTAAAGGTAGGTTTTGGGGCGGGTTTTGAGGTGAAAAAATTTTTTTTGGAAAAAAAATTGAATAATGTACAAAAAAATGATTTTTAAAAAAATTTTTTAATTTTTTAAAATTTCAAAAAAAATTTTTTTTTAAATTTAATTATTGATCTTATCAAAATTATCAAAAAAAAATAAAATTTTGCAAACAAACCTCCCCATATCTTCATTACCACTAACCTATACCTACTATAACATCCCTAATACCCCTCAAAATACAGAAAGCCGAGCGGCCCAAACAGAATCCGACCGTTTCCGAGCCCAATCCAGCCTAATTTACGAAACCGAAGAATTCTTGCCCCCAGCCTCGCGTCTAGTCGACTTGGCTCGCCGTGCCGTGCCAGACGTCCGTGAGCCCCACATTGCCTCCAACCTTCAAACTACCTCACAGAAACTGTCCACCGAACTCGCCACCCTCATGACAACCTTGAACAAGGCTCGTCAGCTCAACTATGATCAACAACTTGATCATACTGAAGAGTTGATAAGAGAATTGGATCAGGCGCTTCAACGTACTAACCAGGACATTAGACAAGGTCATATTCGACCGGTCGGGGCTGCTCCTGATGCTTCGCAGAGATTGAATGATGCGGCTAGACAGGTCAGTTCGAGTTTGACTCAGCTGGTTTCGGCCGCGCAGAGCTCGGATAAGCAACATGTTGGAGCGTCGGCGATGGATGTGGCCAACTCTTTGAGGAGGTTTACCTACAGTGCTCAGGAGATTGCTCCTAGCTGTGGAAAACAGGTTGATACGTAAGTGATCGGGTTTGAAATGGGTTGAAATGACATTTTTTAATTGAAAAAAGGCTAAAAATTTTTAAGCCTAAAACTTTTTGATTTTTTCAACTTTACCAACCCTAAAACAACCATATTTCAGCTTCATTGGCAACGCCCGCAACGTAGTCCACGACTCCGGCAACATTTTCGTCCAAGTCCGAAACCAAGCTCCTCCCAATCGCCTGAAGGAAAGCCTAAACACAGTCCAAGCCTCAATCCGCCAAACCCTCAGCGCCCTACCAGAACATGCCTCGATAGAAGAAGCGGTCAAGAAGATCAGTCAAGCTGAAAACGTCAATATATCAACCTCACTTGACCTTCGACAAGCTGCTGGCAAACTAATTGAAGCCGCCTCCGAACTGATCGCTGGCCTAAGAGCTGGAGAACAACGTGGTCGAGTGGACAACTTTGTTGATGCCTACATCACCTTCTTCAGTGTTACTCAAGAGAAGGTGCGAAGCAGTGAAACGGTGATAAGAGGAGATATCAATGAGAATCTGGAGGTGTCAAGAACGGCCGCTATCAATGTGCTGGAACGGTTCTCTGGGGCTCAAATCGATCCACAAAGCTTGGCTCACACTCAACAGCTAAGCCAATCAGCTAGACAGCTAAGTGAAAGTGTCACTGCCATTGTCAACATCACCTCTCAGGAAGCTCCGTGGGTCAAAGAGTGTGATAACGCATTGAGGAAGATCGAGGCCGTTCGGCCACTTTTGAATGAAGCCACCGTGCCACAGAATCACAACAGCTACTACGAATCACTAGATGCGGTTACAGAAGAAGCTAAACGACTAGGCAGTGGACTATCAGGAATGGCACACCACGCACGACACGGCAATGGAGATGAATTGTACACGGCCGTTCATCAAGCTGGTGAAGCGGTTTGTGGACTAGCTGAAAATGCAGTCCAATCAGCTTATCTGATCGGTGCTGGCCATCCTCAAAGTGTTGGAGGTAGACCAGCCCTGTTCGATACGGACCGTCTTAGCCGAAACTTGTTTGCCATTCAGGCTATCACCGAGAAAATAGCCAACGGCCAAGTCGATACTCCAGACTTGGTGGCTGAGATGCAATCCATCGCTTCCCATGCCTCAAATGTAGCCCAGATCTGTCGTGATGCTACGGAAAGAACCAACAGCTCCACCACAAAGAAGCAGTTCACGAACTGTGCCAGAGACATCACTGATATCACGTCCAAACTGATAGCTGGTGTTAAGAAGCTCCAAGCCAAGCCACAATCGATCGATCATCAACAAGAGGTCAACGAGAGATCACTGGAGTTGAATGAAGCCGCTCACACGCTAGCCCAGTTCGTGGATCGGCCTGAATTCACTCCAGGAGCGGCCAAGATTAGCGACGATGGCCGTCAGCTTCAGGAGCCGCTTCTGAAGTCAGGCCGACTAATGCTGGACGCTTCGGCCAAAATGTTTGGAACGGCCAAGAAACTGGCCGTGAACGCTACTGATGCCAACACTTGGCAAGAGATTGCCGATAACAGTCGAGTGGTTTCTGAATCCATCAAGAATCTGGTGACCACGATCCGAGACCAAGCTCCAGGCCAGTCTGACCTTGATGAAGCGATCGAAAGGCTAAGTGCATTGATCCGCCAAATCGATCGAGCGGCCTTAGACGCGGCCCAAGAACAGCTACCTCGGTCGAACATCTCCGAACAACGTGTTCATCAACAGATCGTCTTCTGTACCCAAACCCTCCAAGAACACATTGATAGCCTAAAGGCAGCGGCCAAGAATCACGCTGAATCTCTGGGCCATGAAGTCCGTGAGCACGTCAAAGGCACAGAGACCCTAGTCCAAAGCGCAGTCCAAGCGGCTTCATTGAGCTACGATTCAGAAGCCCAGACTAAGTTCTTCGAACAATGTAAGACTGTGGTCGAGGCCGAACTGAAGCTGATGATCGCGGCCAAAGATGCCGGAGGCAATCCAAAAGCCGCTCAACTTCATTCTGTCGTCGATGAATGGGCTAGTCAACTTCAACGTGCTCTAGCTGATTTGGAAAGAAGTGTTAATCTACTTGACAGCCAAGCCGGTGTCATCCATGGTATTGTAGAGACAATAACCAGAAGCATTGCCATCACTGACCAGTCGAAACCTGTAGATCCTAATGACAGCTTCCCCAATGTCCAAGGCCGAATGGTAGAAGGTCTGGAGCGGATCAGGAAGATCGCCGAAGACATGCCAGTCAGAGATGTTGATGACCTTGGCAAAGACTCTCTCACCTTGGCCGAACTCTACAGAACCTTGGCCGAAGATGGTCGTATTGCCACTTCATTGTTGACCAACCCAGACCTATCATACAAACTCAAAGTAGCAGTCCAAAGACTTGGCACAACTTCAATCGAGCTAGTCCGAGTGGCTGGTCAACGTCGATCACATCCCTATGATGAGAGAATCCGCCACGATCTTCAAAAGGCTTCAGAAGTTGTGGTGGAGCGATGTGAAGAAGTCTTGGCCGCATTGTACGAAGGTTCTCGAGGAACTCAAGCCTGCATCAATGCGGCCAATACGGTCTCGGGCATCATCGGCGACCTGGATACTACAATATTATTCGCAACTTCTGGATCTCTGAATCCAACCACGCCACAACATCAACCACAAAGTGCCAAAGAACATCGTGATAACATTGTGCGAACAGCCAAGGCTTTGATCGAAGATACGAAGGCATTGGTCACCGGAGCAGCCAGTAACCAAGAACAGCTAGCTGTCGCGGCCCAAAACTCAGTCCGGACTATCATGCAATTGACTGAAGCTGTTCGACGAGGAGCTTCCGTCTTGTCCAAGGATTCTCAAGAGTCCAGGGTGCTGGTCTTCCATGCTTGTCGTGATGTAGCCGCTTCGTTGTCCAATCTTATCAATGCCACAAACAGAGCTTCTGGCAGAAATCCTCAAGACCCAGCCATGGGCAACTTGAAAGATGCTGCTAAGACCATGGTTATTAACGTCTCGAACTTGCTAAAGACTGTGAAGTCATTTGAAGAACAGAATCGAGGTGGAGCTTATGCTTTGGAAGCTGCAATGGATGCTATTGACTTCGCTGTTAGGGTAAGATAATATCGGAAGAGAAAAATTAAAAATATTGTAGGAAAAGTTTTAAAAAGTGATAAAGTAGGTAAAAAATAATATGAAAAGTGAAAAAGAAATATTTTCGAGAATTTTACGAAAAAAAAATTGTTTTTCACTATGCACTTGGCAATAAGAATGGTCCCGCAACGAAAAATTCAACTGCTAAGCAGCTTTTGGACATTATTTGGCATTGTGTATCTTACACTGAAATTGAGTTTATTTGACGAAAAGTGTAAACAATAACATTGTTTTAAATTTTTAAAAAATTTTAAAAGGTGAAATACGGGTCCTTTAAGTAGTTATTACTAAATTTTTATCTTTTCAGCAATACGACCTAAATGAATCGCCAAAACGCGCCGATCCAGCCACGGCCGAAGATGTTATCCGCGCCACACGTGAAGTAACGGAAGCCTCAACTCGTGCCACAACAATGGCTTCAGCTTTGGACACGGAACGAGTGATTGCGGCTTCAAACTTTGCCAGAAAAGCTGTCGCCGACTTGTTATCTACAACATTGTCGGCTTCACATAACACAGACACTCCCGAATTGGCAGTGAAAACAAAGAATGCGGGTCGTGAAGTTGCTATTCAGGTGAAACAGTTGCTTCAACACTTGTTAGCCTACGTTGCTCAGCCTGCGAATCATCAGTCAAAGGAATTGATCTTGCTGGCCTCGCAAGAGGTCTCTAACGTGAGTTTTTTTGGTTTTTGGCTTGATTTTAGGTAATATTTTTTGAGGAGATGTTAAGAAAGGTGTTAGGCTAACTTTTTATGAGGTAGACCGTTTCTTTCTTTTTGTTTTGAAGTTGAAAAGGTCTATCATAACATTTGAAAAGTTAAAAATTATTTTTTTGAAATTTCATTTTTTTTCAAAAAATTGAATTAATACGTTTCGTTGGGCATAAAAAGTAGTAGCTCATCTCAAGTTTTGGTCTAATTACCTACTTTGCTGTTAAAGTTATGCTTAAAAGAAATTCGAAGAAGCGTTGGTTTTCCAAGAGGATTCGAACTTTTTATGATTTTCGACTTTTTTAAATGAATGTAACTTAGTCGTATCTTTAAGTATTGGCCTGAAATTTTTAGAATAGAGACTTCGTTTTATGCTTTATCTAACGTTGGTTTTCGATTTTTGAAAAAAGTTAGGTAGAGGTCAAAAAATAATGTTCAAACTGGACCGAGTCTTTCGAAAAGCGAGCTTCCGGGAATTTTATTGATTTTTGATGTTCTTGTGTATAATATATCATCGATATAGTTAAAAAGACTTTGTAAATCGCTTTTTTGCATATTTCTACTTTTTTCTTGTCAATATTCTTCAAACTTTTTTCCAATGCGAAACGTCAATGGCCATATCGTTTTGAAACATCTCGCTTCGTTTTTTCGGCCGATTCCCGAAAGCCCAGAGGGCATAAACATTCGGGAGGGTCGTTGTGTCAAAAGAGGAGAACAAAATTGTCCATCTGGCCGCACATTTCTCCTTCACGGTCTCGATTTTCGTTTTTTTTCCTTCACATTTCGAAAATTTTGAGGTTTAGGCTTAAATTTTTGAGATTTTAAAACTTTTAAGTGTTTTTAAGCCTAAAACTCGATGTTTTTTGAAAGTTTACACAATTTCTTGATATGCCAGATTAAATGACATCATAACTTTTTATTTTTTACCAGTATTAATACCTGTTTTTCAGTCAGTTGGTATCTTGGCCAATTGTTGCGAAGCGTTACGTTCAAATTGGTCGACAGAGCCTCGCCAACCTCAGAATGCAATCGAAGCGGCCGAAAATGAATTATTGGGAGCAGCGTCGTCTATCGAAGCCGCTGCTGAACGTCTACAAAACTTGAAGCCTAGACATCAAGTTCAGGTATGTTAACTTTGGAGTTTTTTGAAATTTAAAAATTTTTTTTTTGAAAAAAAATTGATTTTTATGAAATGTGACATGGCTTTTGATTCTTAAAAATGTCATTTTTAGACTTAAAAAAATTTTTGAATTTTTGAAAAATTAAAATTTTTTGAAATTTTAAAACCTCAAAATTCAAGTCCAAAATTCAAAAAATGATTGAATTTCCCGTCAAAGACTTTGTCTTCCTACTGTAAACGTAAACTCAATTTCGAGCGAATTCAAAACTGCCATTTTTTATTTGAAAGGCAATTTATTCAAATTTAATTCAAAATCAAAAATTGAGTTTTGCGACAATTTCAAGGGCATTATTTGGTTAACAATGCTACAGTATGTCTTTAAAATGAAGGTTGTAAGCTTAGAAATTGAGATTGTAAACCTTTAGGGGTGAATGTTGGGTTATAAAATGACACTTTTTTGAAAAAAAAGTTGAAATTTTTAAAATTTTTTTTTGAAATTAAAAATTTTTTTTGCAAATTTCAATTTTTTTAATTCGAATTCTTCTTGCATATGGTAGACACGCCGGGTGTTGGAGAGGTCGAAAAACTTACATTTTTGTTTATTTTGCTTATCTCAAACAGCCGTCCGATTTCCCTCAGGGGCTTAGGGAATTTGTGGCGCTTCCAAAAAACATGGCACACTGATTTTTAAAGCCTAAACTGTCTCAAATTTTGGCTTTGAAGTTACGATTCGTATAGGCAAGGCATGTGTTTTTTGGGGGTGAGGTAAGGTATGATAGCGTAGGGGAGGATATGGAAGGGAAAGATAGGTTATGCTGAAGAAAAGTATGTTTAGGACACGATTGCATGCACAGGGCATCACATTAAGCTTAGCAAAAAATTTTAGGCTTGTCATTCGATTTTAGACTTATCACATAAGTTTAGGCTTAAAACATAAATTTAGGCTTAGCACTAAATTTTAGGCTTAGAAAACCTTTTTGGGCTTGTTAGCCTGATTTTATGACGTTATCCAATATTTTTCTCTTAAAAAATAATTTCTCTACCACCCTCTCGCTTTTGCCACCATCACTAACGCCAAAGGGGAAGGCCAGTTTAGTCGAAAGTTATTGCGGCGGAAATTGTCTTCGGAACAGCTGCGAAACTTTATCGAACTTTTTGGACAAAAATCGCCGTTTTCTTGGCTTAAAAACGCGTTTGTCAATATTTTTTTTTGCAGTTTCGAGACTGCAAAACAAATGAAGCGAATGTCAGTTCGGATTTTGAGTGTCATGGACCAAAAGTTTAGGGAATTTCGAATTTGAAGGTCTGGGAAGAATTTGAAGTTTTTTTGGATTTTTGAGAAGGTTTTGGGCTAAAAAATGAAGTGTTTAGGCTTAAATGAGGCTAAAATAAGAGTTTCAAGACGTTAGTAAAGCGAAAAATGAAGTTTTTGAGGACTTGAATGGCTAAAAGTGAGAGTTTTAGGACTTAAATGAGGCTAAAATGAAGTTCTTATGATGTAAACTAGGCTAAAATTTAAGGTTTTAGGCTTAAACGGGATTAAGAATGACGTTTTAGACTTAAAAATGAGATCTTAGAAGGGTTAGTTCGAAAAATGATGTCATTTTATAGTATTAGTAAGCTCTTGGTTATATGAAAAAAAGTGTTTTTGGCTTAAAGAAAAGCCTAAAAATTAAATTTTAACTAAAATATTGCTTTTGATTTTAATAATAATTTAATTTTTGAGCCATTTTTAAGCCAAGTTTCTTCTAAAGCCAAACGTTTTGGCTAAAAAAATGTGCCAAAAAATTAAAAATATATGCTATCTTTTTCTTAAAACTAAAATTTTAAGCTAGAAATTGTATTGAAATCTAAAGTTATGGCTAAAAAACGTGCTAAACAGTAAAGTTTCAGACCAAAAAAAGTACCGAATTCTGAGGTTTTAGGCCAAAACCCCAATCTAAAACAATCTTTTTCATCCTCAAAGCCATAAATATTAGTTTGGGCCTAAAAATACTCGTAAATATAATGTCATATCATCTGTGAGTAAGCGAATTACTTGGCAAAATTTGTGTGGTCGATTGAAAAGAGGGTACATTAAATTTTAATGCATGATTATGAGCCTTTTAATGCTGGTAATTGGCGAAATTTTGTTGTTTATGGCTCGTACTTGGCTTCAAGGAGGCATCTAGAGGTGGATGAAGGGTGTGTAGGCTTGGGTGGTGGTTTGAAGAAGGTAGAGGGGTGTGTAGGCATGGGTGGACATTTAAAGGAGATAGAGGGGTGTGTAGACATGGGTGGTGTTTTGAGCTGGTTTTAGGTTTGGCTTGAACGCTAGAGGCTTAGAAGTGTCTATGGCAGTTTGAAGGTTAAATAAGATTTTTTGATTAAAAAAATGAAATTTCAAAAAAAATTTTTAATTTTGAAAAATTTTAAAATTTACGTTTTTTCCAAAAAATGCGTCATCCCTTCAAAAAACTTCATTTTTACTTAAAAAATGCCGTCAAGCTTTTCAAAATCCAAAATTTTTGCAACCAAAAACCGCGCAAAGTCCTATGCATGATTAAAGGTTAAAAAAGGGCATGTAAGTGCGGCTTAAAGTGGCATTACGACCTTGTCTTGCCTCACTTTTTGTCGGCCTAAATTGTTCTTTTTTTTTCTTGCGGCCGGCCTCGAGCGTTTTACACAATGAAGGTATGTTAACATTGTTTCGTTCGAGGGCTTCGATTCGGTCTGGAGAGGTTGATGGCTTGTACTTTGGTGGTTGTGTGCTCTTGGTTTGCGTATTTGTATTTTGATGGTACTCAGGGTTCGCAGGGGTGCTTTTGGAGAGTGGGGGGGGTAGGGCGGGGTAAAAATTTATTGATTTTAAGTTTTTTGAACTTCCCAGGGGACCAAGCTTAACTTTTTTTTAAAAAAAATAAAAATTTCGGAGGGGGGGGCGGAGGGTAGGGCAAGGTTAAAAAAAAATTTTTTTTAAGCATGGCTATAAATTCTGCTGTAGTGCGTCAGATCGCTAAAGTTTTTCTTAAAATTAAAAAAAAACAGTTTTTAACTCACTCCCCCCCCCCTACCCCCCCCTCTCCTCTTACCCCTCCAATAACTCCTCAACATAGTAGCCCCTAATTCCGCGCAAATAAAGGGTACGAACTCATTATGCATTTCTTTCTTAAATTCAATCTGCCGTTCCGCCGTCTTCTCAAGGTCGTTAAGCCCATCCCCTCGGCGCTTTCCCCCCCTCTTCTTGGCCACCCTTCTTCAAGATTTAAAAGTCACAAAAAAAAGCGAGATTTCGGTGGCCTCGCGTCCAATCCGGTTAGGGGCCCCAATTCCCGATGCATACTAAGTTTTGGCACCGTGAAGCATGCGCCGTTTTGTGTCCCGGATTTTGTCGTTTTGCTTCGAAGTGACGTTTTTAAGATTGTGTTTGGATAGAATATGGTTTTTCTTGATCTGTTTTAGTTAGTCTTTATGTTCGATAAGATTCTTCTTGATCTGCTTGAGGACTAGGTGGTTTACTATTGTTCTTTTAGAGTTATAGAGAGGCTGTTTTTTGAGCTAGTTAACAGTTAAGGGGATGTTTCAAAGAATAGTAGTAAATTTTTTTTTATTTTTTTTGGTTTTGAGGCTTATCTTTGGGTAATGAGTGCACTTTCAAAGGCTTTGAAAAATTTCAAAAAAATTTAAAAAAATATTTTTGATCAAATACCTATCAAAACCAGATGAAAAACGGTTTAAAATTCAATTTTTAAACTAGTGATAACATCAAAAACGTCTTTTGTGATCTATATGAGAGCTAGAAAAGCTATTGCAATCGTCTTGGCATTGCGTTTCATCGTAAAATTCATCTTTCAAATAAGCACAATGCTAAGAAGGTACCAATAGCTTCTTTAGCTTTTGAGTAGATCAAAAAAGACGTTTTTGGTGTGACCACTAGCTTAAAATTTGAATTTTGGGCTGTTTTCCATTGTTTTTGATAGGTTTTTAATCAAAAATTTAAAAAATTTTTAAAATCAACACTCAAGCTTTTGAAATTCCACTCAAAACCCAAAGATAAGTCTCGAAACCAGACTTAGCCGCCGGCTGTGTATTTGCTTCACCCTTGAGCGGACTTCCAACCGATTTCCGGTATCCGGTCAATTGTCTTTAACGACCGGAGGCGCGCTCCATTGTTGCATGCCCTGCCTGCCCCGGCCCCCCAAAATCGGGCATTTGCCTTGCTTTTGTTGTAGCCTATTGTTCGGCCGAAAACAAGTGTTTGCATGAGTGCGGTTTTTGTTCTTGGCCTTGGATAGTCTTTACGAATTGCAGCTGGAGGTTGCACTTTGGCTGGGGTTTGTCTTGGCTTAATGGGTGGTGCTGAGTGAAGTTGTTTTAGTATTAGTGTAGGTTAAAGGTTATGGAGGTAGTCTTCTTGTACTATACTCTGATCAACCCTCGCTTCATTATACTGTGGTACTATTATCAGCGTGTTGTTAATATTTTCGTACTAAATTTGGCTGAAACTTGGTTTTCTAGTACAGTTAGAAGCTAAAACATAGTATCCGAGTACTATTTTTAGTTGAAAAACTGTAGTATAGTACCATTTTTGATTTAAATTTGGTCCTAAACTACTACAAAGCTAGTACTGTTTACGAAAGCTAGTACGAGAAAACACTGTAGCACTTGTTCGGCTAATGTAAACACCAGCCCATCCCCCGCATAATTAAGACGGCACAAACGGCACAAATCCGCCTTCTGTCAGGGCCTTAAAATAATGGATTTAACATTCAATATCCATAATGTTTTCAAACACATGTCAAGTCGGCGAGGGACGAGATGCATAATGAATCGCGTTCTCGGCTGGGGTTTCATTCGACAAATATAACCTTGTTGGTGGGGGTGGATTACACCAGAAAATTGTAAGGGGCTTAGGCTAAAAGAGGTATAGAGCATTTAGAAACTTAATGTAGGTACCTAGGTTGGGTTGGATTGAAATATTTTATTAAGGGGGAGGGGGGGGTGAAAAAAAATTTTTTTTTGAAAAGGGCGCAGGATTATGTGAACAACTTAATAGTTTGTAAAGTTAGACTAGCTTTTTCCCTTCATCTTTGAAATCATCTATTTGTGTTATTTAGCCTTAAAATTTGTAAATATTCATCTCTTGACCTTCCTGTCGATAGGTCATCTTCTCTCGACTCCACAATTGGCACATCTCCTTCTGCCACCCCCTACTTTCCACCAACTCCCCCCCCCCCCCAAGAGTTATTTTTGCGCGATGCCAGGTGTGACGCGCCTTCTGCTCGTCATCTGCATGTCGCGCAGCTGTCGCCGCCCCAGCCTCCGCCCTCTCTCGTTTATAATATAGTTGTTGGGGCAGTCGAATTTCGACTGTTCCAAGGCCAGTCGATTCGGGGCGGTAATTGCGGGCGTTATGCCTGGGACTTGTATTCTCCCATTGGGGGTTCTGGGTTTCAGTCGACAAGGTTTCGTAGCCTATTAAAGGGATTTTATTGGCGGCGTAGGTTATGGCACTTGTTGGTTGGGAAGGTTTATATTAGACTGAGTTGAATACTCAGAAGTTGTAGTTAATTAGGAAGGTTCTTATTACTTGAAATAGGTTATATGGCACTCAACTGAGTTATATAGTCATATGTAAATCAGTTGAGTACTATATAACTGGTTAAAGTAGGTAATAATAGTCCAGTAGACTTGTGGTCATCTTTGTCATCATTTCATAGTTTTCAGGTCATATCTTTTTCATAGCTTAAACTTAGTTTCATTATCCTAACTTGAAGCAGTAGCTTTAAAAACTAATTTATCATAGCTTTATCAACGTCTTATGCCTAGTTTTAAAATTTTGAAAATTTGCGTTTTAAAAATTAAGGTTGTATAAAAAGTAGCTGAACTCTGTATGATATGTAATATTTGTCTTCTAGTGACAATAGACACACTTTTCTATGAAAGTTTTGTTACACATTGGTATATTGTAAACCTCCTAGAGCTAAAAATGGCACTCCAGACTTGATTGCGTAGTTAAAAGTGTAATACGCAAGGAAATGGCGTTGTGTCATAAAGTAATATTATAATAGCTGCAGCATTCTTAATTTTTCTGTAGGTTTTTCGGCATTAGTCTTGAGAGTTGTTCTGTAGATAAGAATTGGCAGGCGTTCTTATAAAATGTTAGCTATTGTGAAGGTTTGACACTTTTTTTGTATGGGTTGAGCTTAGAGTTGGGCTTATGCTGAGGTGTGAGTTTAGGCTCCTGATGCCTTAAACATTCAATAGCTAAGCTTAGAAGTTTAAAATTGTCTTTCTAATTCTTTGTAATGCTTGGAAAGATAGCTAGTTTTTAAAAAAAGTTAATTTTAGATTGGGATAAGGTTTTGTTTAGGCATAAATTAGCTTTATTACCAAAAAATTTTATAAATAAAGGCCTTTTTTATAGCTTTGAGGTCTTGTTTTTTGATTTTTGAGCTTTTTCTTAGCCCTAACTTATATATTCTACTAAGAATCTCTTGAGTTTTCTGTGTATACTATTATAATATAGAGTAGAACTTGTATATCAGAGTTTAGTAAGGCTTCGCAGGTCGTTTTCTAGCTTAATAAAGCTTTAAAGGCTGTCATCTGGCTTTAGAATGAACTAAAAGCTTGGCTAGACTAGTTGAAACTCAACTTATACTAAGAAACTAGTAAGAACATGCCCAGCTAGACCTCATAGTAAGTATATACTTAACAAAACTTACTCATACCTAAACATACAGCTTTACTTTGTCCTTCTTTCCCTAAAACGCAATAGCTAGAAACGTTGAAACGCCAGAAACACTTGAGCTTCCTGAGAATGCACTCTACGTTTCTGGCCTCATTTTAACTCGGAGGCCACTCGAGCAGTTCACACGGTACCTGATCTCTTGCACTTAATGGCATTACATCAGCCATTGTATATATAAGGGCAACGGCTCGCCAAAGACAAACTATTAGTTGCTTTCCACTAGGGGTTTGGTATGGGTGAGGTGGGTTAGAGTAGGGTAGGGGAAGGTGTTGTGGAGTAAAGTATGGTACTTTAGGTTAGTGGATGGTCTGTTAATATAGGATAAGGTATGTTAAGGCAGGCTATGGTATGCTGTCCTATAAAGAGTCGTATTAAGGCAGAAAAAAGCCATGTTAAGGTAGAGAAAGATACGTTAGTCTATGTTAAAGTATATATAATGACATTCTTTCTTTTTCCATAAACTTTTCGACCGGTATCAGTCTTTTACCCAAAAAAGTCTATCTAATTCTCGACCGTTCTGTTAAAAAACAAAAATCCGCAGTGCCTTGTAGCCAACTCTGATATGTCTAGTATTCTTGGGTTCAGTGACAATTGGCAACCCTAATGCTCGACATATCGGAGGTGGCACAAGTGTCAAGATTTTTTAATTTTTAAAAAATTTTTTGGTCGATTCTGGTCTTGGACGGTAAATTTTAATTTTTTTAAATTTTGGAAATCTCGTTTTTAATTTAAAAATTCGTTTAAATTTCTTTAAAACCAAATAAAACCTCAATCCCTAACCCATTAGTCCTTCAGAACCCGGACCAAGAACTCCAATTTGATGTTCACATTATCAGTTATGCCAAACAAATCACAAACGCGGTCTCCACCTTAGTCAAGGCCGCCCAATCCACCCAGCGAGAGCTAGTCCAACAAGGTCGAATCGACCCTCGGCCACAACAATTCAAAGGAAATGACTATCAGTGGAGCGAAGGCTTTGTTTCGGCCGCCAAAGCCGTGGCCGCAGCCGTTCAACAGCTCTGCGAGACCGCCAATAATGTTGTAGCTGGGCACGCTAGCGAAGAAAAGCTAGCTGCATGTGCCAAAACAGTAGCCGCTCACACGGCACAGTTGTTGGTGGCATGTCGGGTGAAGGCCGACCAAGGCAGTCACAACATGCAGAGGTTACAGTCAGCTGGTCAAGCTGTGAGAATCGCGGCTGAAAGTTTGGTGAATGCTGCTAGGCAACAAGTTGCTGAAGATGAAAGAATCGTCGTCATAAACGATAGGATGGTTCATGGAATTGCTCAGGTAAATAGACAAGTCAAAAGTTAATAAAAGGCAAAAGTTAATACACAAACATAGAAGATGAAAAAAAATAGAAAAAGCACATGATAAAGGGACAAAAGAAGGCAAAAAGTATGAAAAATAAGGCAAGAAACAAATAAAAAAGATAAAGAATGAAGCGTAAAATTATAAAGAAATGAAAAAAAGAAACAATAAGGCTCTATTGGGTATTAAAAAAAAGTCTTGTCGCAAATTTACGAAGGTTTACACTGTCAGAAACGACAAGACTTTTTTACTTTTAATGTTTCCTTACCCAACACAGCATAACTTTACCTATAGATAAAGAAGAAGCAAAAACACTATTTTTTTAAATTGGAAGAAATTACAGTATCCTATAGAAATGGCAAGGAAAAGAAACAAATTTCGTTTTTTTTTGAAAATAAAAATATCAAAATTAATGTCAATATCAATAATACCTTTGATCTAAAACTAATGCTAAGCCTATAAAACACCTTTCAATTACAAAAACATAACTAAAACAAAGAAAATCAAGCTTACTATCACACTAAACCCACTTTATTGTAGGTAATGAAAGCTCAAGAAGAGGTGCTACGCAAAGAGCGTGAACTGACCGAAGCCCGACGTCAGTTGGCCGAGGTGAATAAGTCACGGTACGCTCCACAAGATTCGGAAGAAGAAGGCGCATAAATTTATATTTTTCAATTTCTAATTTATATTTAATTTTTTAACTTTATATAGTTAACTTACTATAGTTACTACCCCTGCCTTGTTGAACACATCAATGAATTTTTATTGTATTAAAGTTTGAAACAGATAAAATGATAAATACATAACATAATATTAACAGTGATAAGGAGGAAATTAAAATTAACAGTAATATAAATAAAAGGAAAGATTGTGGTTAATATCACAAACAATATTAACAAAATACAGTACAAAGTTAGTACTTGTACTACTGCCAAATCACGAAAGATTACCTTCCCACCGTTCCGTGCCATAGATATGTATGGGTGGTATCTATGGCACGGAACGGTAGGGAGGGAAAGGTAGGGTAGAATAGGACCGAGTATGGGAGGGTAGAGTGGAGTAGGCTATAGTAGTGAGTAGACATGATGAACGGGCCGGGCCTTGATTTTCAGGCCCGGCTCTGTAATGATGGTATGTTACGGTGTGAACATGTCTAAGTATAGTAATCTAGGGTGGGGTTGTGTATGGCCAGGCAGAGTAGAAAAGATTACGGTACAGCTTGATATTGAAGATTACCATAAGGGTACTGTAGGGTCTGAATGTGGTATTGATAGTAAGAGTAGTCAGGGACGTCGAGGCAGGGGGGGGTACCCCCTTCCCCCCTCCAGAGCCGATCCGAAAAAAATTCCACAGGTAGGTAGGTACCTGTACGCGGAAAAACGAAAAAAAAAATTTTTGAAAAATCGGTTCACAGGTTGTCCTGAACCAAAAAAAATTTTTCGACCTCCCCCCCCCCAGAGAAAAACCGTAGCGACGTCCCTGAGAGTAGTCTAAAGTAGGGTGGGGTAGGATAAGGTAAGGTAGGGTAGGGTAGAGGAAGATAAGGTAGGGTAGGGCAGAGTAGGATAGAGTAGGCTAGGCTACATAAGATATAAGACAATTAACGAGTTTGAGAAGCATTACTATCAGCCCAAACAACAGTACTAACTGTACTAGCCTGTCTTCCAGTAATTTTCGAAAACACTTTCATCAAAAACTCTCTATAAGGTCTAACGTAGTACATTAAAATGGCACAATCAAAAGTGCTATGACAACATGCGACCATAGTCATGACCATTACTATAATTGGTGCTCTTGGCACATCTAGGGCTATTGTTAGTAGTCCTGTTAATAGGGGTATTACTAGGATAAAAGCGATGCAGAGGAGTTGTACTTGGATTGACTTGAATAACATTAGCTGAAAATGAGTTTTTAGATTTGGAAAGAAAGTTTTTGTCGTTTTTTGTTTTGTAAAGAAAGTTCTTGCTATTTTTTGCCTTGTAAAGAAAGTTTTTGCATTTTTTTGCTTTGTAAAGAAAGTTCTTGCCATTTTAAGGTTTGTAAAGAAAGTTTTTGCTGTTTTTTTGTTTTGTAAAGAAAGTTCTTGCTATTTTCAACGACTCACTTGAATTCGATAAGTAGAGCTGCTCAAATGATGATTGGGATCCTCCATAATCTTCTTTAAGTGTATCAACATCAATCCAATAGTTACCACGTAGGTCATGATGAATATTATCATAAATATATACATTATTACCATACCACTACTCATATCCGTCTCAATACAAATCAACGATCTTTGAGTAGCTTTGACATGAGCTACTACTGAGTTTTGTAGTATTATGTCGTTGATTTGACTTGGGGATGAGCGGTTTGTCATCATTGGGTACTGTAACATAAAATTTGAAAATTAAAAAAGAAATTGAAAAAATTTTGATAAGGGCTATTAAGGGATACAGTAACGCAACTTACCACTAAAGCAAAGGCTATAACAGAAAAAACGGATGTCCATAGGCTTATATTTTGTTGTACTATTCTTTTTAGTACTGGATAGTACTGTGGTGACAAAGCCTAAAATACAAAGTTTGTAAACTTTCTACCTTTACCCCTAACCCTACCCCTACCTCGACTCCTACCCCTACCCCTACCCCTACCCCTACCCCTACCCCTACCCCTACCCCTACCCCTACCCCTACCCCTACCCCTACCCCTACCCCTACCCCTACCCCTACCCCTACCCCTACCCCTACCCCTACTCCTACCCCTACCCCTACCGCTGCCCCTACCCTACCCCGCATAGCTTACAGCATCTCCATTATTAATACCATCAACCCATTAGTTCATTACCTACCTGTGAATACCGATAAAGAATGGCAATATAGATAGCTGAGGCTTTGCCAGCAGCGAAGAACGATGCCAAACATACGGAGACATATTCGTATGTCCCTATTGAGTTATTGAAAATGCCAGCACTAAAAGAACATTGAATTGGGAATAGGTTAACTGGCATCTAGTATTTGTAGACCCTCATACCTAAAATGGCACAATTTAAAATTTTTGATTTTTTTGGATTTTGTAAAGAAAGTTCTTGCCATTTTTCGTTTTGTAAAAAAGTTCTTGCCATTTTTTGTTTTGGAAAGAAAGTTCCTGCCACTTTTTAAGAAAGTCATATTATCTTACCTTTTCCTCTAGTAAACAGTATAGTAACAGCCGTTACTGTAATAGACACAGTAGCAATAGCCAATACAATGTAGTTGAGAGTTCGAAAGTACTGTAGCTCAGTATCTGTTGGTAGATCACTTAATTCAATAACTTCTTTCATATGAATGTGACTAACTTGGTAATGGTTGATATTACCACCTGTAACTAATAGTAAAAATAACTTTGTGTTGACTATTGATATTATGAATGGTTTAGTAGTGTTAGTTTGTTTTATAATTGTTTAGTTAGTACTATATTATGCAATATATTAGTAATATATTGTTATAGAAATGACATCTGTAGTGAATTACCATTAGTGGTAATATATAGGTTAGGGCATGGAAGAGTAGGGCAAGGTAAAAGCAGTAGTACACTGTAAGTGGCTCTTCAGTAGGGTGAAATACAACTACAAAAAGTAGAATACGATGTGGTAGGGTAAGGTAGGGTAGGGTAAGAATATACTAGACTAAGGTATGTTACAACACAAACAACTTGTTTAACCTATGTTAAGATGCTATGAATCAATTTACAGTACATTAAGACTGTCTGCTCCTACAGTAAACTAGGGTATAGTAGTATATAGTATGTAAAATCTTACCTTAACGTCCGAGTTTGTTATATGTAGTTACAAAAGATGGCCGTGACTTGTTTATCTTTATTAGTCAGAACGTAACAGATTATAATTTATAACATTGCATAATAGATTCTTCATATCGAATATATTGTATACGACTCTTTTTCATTAGGTCTACATTTTGTTCACCTTGTTTAAAAATTTTTTAGACTTTGAATTCAAACTTTTTTCTTGCTACGTTTATTATGTTTGAATAGGATTGTAGTTCGTCTCAAGATCTTAAGATAACATACATTTTAGTTAGGCATTGTCAATATACATTATTTAGTGTAACATTAAATATCGAAATGGACTGGTTGTGTTATCCAAGTGCCGTTTTATATCGATAGAGGTAAAGTACAGCAAGATAAATCATAAAATAAAAATAGAACTTATTAAACCTAAGGCTCGCTAAGCCTACTAAGCTTAAGCCTACTAATCTTAAACGTACTAAGTCTAAGCCTACTAAGCCTAAGCCTACTAAACATAAGCCTACTAAGCCTAAGCCTACTAAGCCTAAGTCACTAAGCCTAGGCATACCAAACCTAAACTTATTAAACCTAAGCTTACTAAATATAAGCTTGCTAAGCCTAAGCCAACTATTTAGATAAAAAAATCTAACTTTTGTAAGTTAATAATAAACAGAATATACAATAACTACTATGTAAAAATTTACTATTTACAGTAATATTGATGTCATTTCAAATAGTTTTCAATCGCTAATCCTCGAGCTCCTACTGCCAATCCACACAACACTCTTGACATCAGTAGTACTGCCAAACTTTGTTATACTCTTCAAAAACTCTCGATAAGGCCGAACATAATACATTAATATAGCACAGTCCAACGTGCTGTGAATAGACATAACCGCCGTTCCCAGCATAACAACCACTGGTGGTCTGGCTAGGTCAAAAATTATAACTAACATACCAACTGATAAAGGGGATGTTACGATAACAGCTAGGCATATTAACTGGATTTGAATAGATTTGAAGAGCATCAACTGAAAAATTTTTAAATGAAAAAGAAGATTGGAAAGAAAGTTCTTGCCATTTCTAGTTTTGTAAAGAAAGTTTTTGCCATTTTAAATTCTGTAAAAAAACTTTTCGTAATTTTTTAATTTGGAAAGAAAGTTCTTGCCATTTTTAGTTTTGTAAAGAAAGTTTTGGCCATTTATTGTTTTGTAAAGAAAGTTCTTGCCATTTTTTGTTATGTAGAGAAAGTTCTTGCTATTTTTGAGATAAAAAATCCAAAATTAAGCAAGGTGCAGCCTGCAGGTGACAAGTTATACGATGAACAAAAATGTTTGTTTTGTAAAGAAAGTTCTTGCTATTTTCCATTATGTAAAGAAAGTTCTTGTCATTTTAAGCCTACATCTATATATAAAGCTCTATATTAACCCACCTGAACCCTATACGTATATTTACTCATATAAAGCTTTTGATCGCTCATAATCTTTTTCAAATGATACAAAACCATCACTACTGTTACTACGAAAGTAACTATAAATATAGTTAAATTGATATAGGCAGCTGTCATTTGACCGCCCCATCCTCCATCCAAACACATAAAAGCTGGTTCTTCTTTTTGTACCTTCAAAATGACAGGGTTTTCTGAAGCTATTTGAGCTATCTGATCTTCTGATGCTCGACCGGTCGATAATGGGTACTGAAAATTTTTTTTTCAAGATTTATGTACTTTGAAATTTTTTTAAAATTTTTAAAATGTAAATTACAAAAAAATTTTAAAAATGCCATTTTTGGTAAGATCTTACGGGTTAGATATAAAATGGCATAGTTTAAAATGAACTCACCAGAATTGAAAAGCATATTACACAGAACACAGCCGTCCACAAAGGGATGTTTTGCTTCACTAACCGCTTTAATGTTTCATGGTAGTGGTCTGATAATGCCTTAAAAGATGAGTCAGATTAGTAAATATAAAGTACGGTATAGTAGGGTAAGGTAGGATACAGTAGGGTAAATATTTAAGGTCATATAGCGGTAAAAAGGTAAAGCCAAGGGTAAGGTAAGGAAAAAGGTTGCGGCAATAAAAAGGTAGGGGGTAGTCAGGACAAGGCAAAACAAGAGTTAGGGCTAAACTGGGTTGGCTCGAGCTCGGCTAGGCTATACTAAGTCGGGCTGGGCTGTGTTAGGTTGAGCTGGACTGTCCTGGGCTAGACAGGCAAAGCCGTAGGTTAGGGTAGGGTAGAGAAGGGTAGGGTATCGCTTACCTGATAGTACCGATAAAGAATAGCGACATAGACAGCCACTGCTTTTCCAATTCCACAAAAGCACGTTAAACATATTGCAAAAATTTCCATTGTTCCGCTTGAATTTTCAAAAATTCCAGCATTAAAAGTGCATTGCACAGGAAATAAAGTTACCCGCATTCCAAGACAAACGAAAGCATCAAAAGCATAATTCCAAATGAGTTCGTGAAGTAGATAATACTTGTAGGCTTTCATACCTAAATTCAAAAATTTATTTTCATCAGCTTTAGTCTAAGCCTAATACGCTTGAATCAATACTAAAATTTAATGGGTAAGCCTACCAATCTTAAACCTGCTAAGCCTCCTAAGCCTAAGCTTCCTAAGCCTACTAAGCCTAAGCCTACTAAGCCCAAGCCTACTAAGCCTAAGCCTACTAAGCGTTAGCCTACTAAGCGTTAGCCTACTAAGCCTAAGACTACTCAGCATAACCTAAGTCTAATTTTTAAATCTAAGTCAACTATGCCTAAAAATAATAGGCCTAAGTCTAGGCCTAAACCTAAGGCTAAGCTTAAACCTAAGCCTAAGCCTACTCAAAACAAACCCAAAAAATGTTTTTTTAATTTCAAATTTATATACCTCTGCCATTAGCAAAAACAATAGTAACGGCAGTAAACACAAAAGACACGGTAGCAATGCCCAATATAGTAAAGTTGAGAACACGGTACCAATATAGCTCTTGTTCAGTAGGCAGATCCGTACTCTCCAGCATGGTTTTCATGTGAATTTAGGGCAGAAAATACTATCAAACCAACAGTTTAGCCAAAAGTGTCATCTTGATAAGATACGACGTTCTAAGCACGTTCTGACACTAAAAATGTCTTATAGCCATTCAATTGCACTATACACTTGAATAAAATGTAATGTTATACTTGACAAAACATAGCCAAATTAAAATGTTAAAACTTGTATTTTCATTTCAAGAGCATGTGATAAGACAGCTACAACGTGGCTAGCAATAACAAATGAGATATGAATTTCAATGGCAACTACAGTTTTAATTAAATGTTATTTACAATGGTAATACAATGTTAATATAACATAATGCTATTCAGAAAGGTAAAACTCTTTATCTTTGAGAGTGCATTACTATATACTAACTATACTATACTATACTATGCGTTACTATATAAAACTATTAAGGCAGTAAGACACTCTATATATACATAGTTTCCAATAAGTTTTCATATAGTACACTGGTTTGCAGTAATGTGCAATATAAAAAAATATTTAAAAGTGCGATACCCTAAAGCACTATATGCAAATATTAATGTTGAATAAAAAAGCATTTTACAGTACAATACTCTAAAGCAATATAAATCACAGTACGAATGTCTATCGCACGATAATTGTATTTAGTACTTCAGAAAATCTTTCTGTGTACGTCTCAAGTTGAAGTTGAGTACAATACGTTATTAAACATCATCTGCTTTTTCAAAAAAAAAACGTATTTTATAAGGTTCATTTTTATATCAGACAAATTATATTACCGTATTCCCATGTTACTTTTACCTCATGACGTAGAAAGGGTTAAATTGTAACGATCCGGTTGTAACGTTGACTATCGTTAGAAATTTCACCTGGCTCTAGTCTGAGCTTTAGCCTTAGTTTGATCCTTAGTCTTAATCTTAGCTTTAGCCCTTGTCTTAGCTCTCATCTAGTTTTAATTTACACCTGTCTCAACTTTAACATAGGTTAGCCCGTAGACATCGTACCGTGAACCTTCCTATGAAACTGTTTTGTATGCTTTTAATGTTAGGTCGCATGCTAGTTAGAGTACTGTGGACGTTATCGTACCGTGCCGTGAGCGTTCTAATGTTACTGCTTCTTTTGGTTTGCAAAAAATATCTGATAGTAAATTATAACCGTATTTCAAAAAGAGTAACATTAGAAGTTTCACGGCACAGTACGAGAACATTCACAATATGCTAGTTGATAACCCGAAAAGTCCCTACCCGAAAAGTCCTGCTCCCGTAGATTTTCGATTTTAAAATAGTCTTTCAAACTTTCAGGCTTAAAGTTTTAATTTATGCTACAATATTATATTTTTTTAAATTAAAATTCAGATAACAAATTTTATTAAAAAATTGTTATTTCACATCAATTTACAGTGCCTTTCTATAATATCAAGTTTAACACATCCACTTCAAAAAGGTCCCACCACGAAAACGAACCTTGGCATTGTGTTCGAGTGATTGCCGGAAGAAGTCATTTCAATTGAATCTTTGAACTTTGCGCGTGCGTGAATCGCTTTTCCTCCTGAAATTTTAAAATTTTTCCGTGATTATGAATGTTACTTCTCACTTTTCTTTTAAAATATTGTTTTGCAGGATATTCACCATGTTCAACATGAAAGTCGAGCATTGTCGCAGATGTAGAATGATGGAAAAGATGGGAAACGCATCAAACGGAGCCTAAACTACTGATGGTGGATGTAGAAGACGCTAAAAGGTATGTGTTTTTGTTTTTTGTTCTGTTTTTAGAAGTTTTGAGGGAAAAAGGAGGATTTGTTGTTATAATTGATGCGAAAGTTAAGTTTAGTGTTATATATGTCATTTTGGATCAAATCTTGGAGCATTTTGACCCTGTTAGAAGGGTTTGGGTTTGAGGAAAATGTAATGTCGGTTAGATTTGTTAATGCATGAAGGATCGTTGAGAAATGACCAATTTTGGATATTACACTAGGCGTCAGGTGATAAATTGCGACTTTTGGGTTTCAGCTATATTTTGGGGCATTTTAAGGTGAAATTATGTTTGATAGTGGGGCTTTAGATGCATTTTGTTATATCACAAGCTATTTTATCTTTAAGGATTTTAATAATTTGGTTTTGTTTTAGAGAGTAAGGTTAACTTAATATAATCTTTCTGATGTTATATTGCGCGAGATTGATGGTTATAAGGGTTATAAAAAATCTATTATAATCGTTTTGTATATTTAACATGTTTTAGAGCCAAGTTAACGATCAAGAAACGGAGGATTTGAAAGTTATGGCCGCAAGAACATCTTCATCTTGCCGAGGGACCTGACCAAATTGGATAGAACGGACAAGATGTTACCTTAAATACCATATAATACGGCTAACTGGACCTACGACAAGTTGTTTTACATGTAAGTTCGAATATTTATTTGTTTTTTGTGATTTTAGGCTAGTTTGGAAGGTTCTTAAATAGGTATACATATCCATCTGGTGGGTAATATACTTTTTTTTATTTTTAGGAGCTGTAGATCATACGACTTTCCGGAATTCGGATAAGAAGGCTGAACGATGTTGTTAGCATCAAATCAAGGCTTGGCAAGCACGGTGGCGTCCAGGATCAACGTTCTAAACCTTATCGTTGGTGCGAAATGTGGATGGGTGGATAAGTGTAGCCAATTGTGGATTCTACGGCTTTTCTAAGTTTCTTTTCTTAATCATTTTATAGTCGAAAAGGGATTAGAGTTAAGGTATCTTATATTTTATCAATTGAGTTCAAATTTTCGGGTTTAATTTGATGTTGTCCATGGCCGTTTATTGTCATGGATAATATAAAAATTTAGAAAGTAAACGCTTGTTATGGAAGGTGTTATGATAACTAAGCAATCCTTGCTGTGTTTGTCACATTTTAATACTAAAATATTAAATTTTATGATTCCTATTTGTAAAATATTAAGCTTGACATGAGATGTGTCATGGATAATATAACATTTAGAAATTTTTCAATGTTTTTGAGCTTTCATATTAGATAATAGATGTGTGTTTCAGAAGTTGCTCGAAGGTGCTATTAATGTGATATAATGTTCAAAACGCTTCAAACGTCGATCATCTTCAAGGTATAGATGGTTCAAGTGCCCAACCAGATCATCAAAGAAGCTGAGCCAAGCTGTCGTCAGCCCGTAATCTTTAGGGCATAGAATCTCTGTCATTTTTATATAGTTCTTTGTATTTGGCGTGTTATTACCTTTATTTACCGCGTTGTTGAGGTAGTCTCTGTACGAGCTCTCCCCTTTTGATGGATTTGGTGTTTTACTATGTTAGGGGGAGGTTCAAGAGCAAGGTAAGGATGACAGGTCTGATGACGAGTTACAGATTGTCATTACTTTGGCATTTTAAAAGTCTTGACCTGACTAAACATGACTTTTTGGCCAAAAATGGCACTTTTTAAAAGTTTTGCTAAAACACCACTTTGAAATGGGAAAAAAATTTTTTTGAGTCTAAAATAATACGGATTTTAAGTTGAATTAGAAATAAAAGTGAATTTTTGGAAGGAAAAAGAACCTTTGAAGGGTGATTTGGATTCAGATCTTGTCATACCTCCTTGCACAGTGCCTGAATGTAGCTTTGACTGGCACTTTTTATCGAAGACTGGTCGGGAAATGGATGGAAAGTTTATAATGAAAGATTTTTGGACCAAAACTTGATTTTTTTTAAACATGAAAAATTATGTTTTCTCTTAACTGCTAAAATTTTAGAAAATTGAACTTTTTTGCCGAAAACCCTATCACAAAAATTGTAAAATTTCATTTTTTCCATCAAAAACTACTACTTTTTAAACTTATAAATTTTCGTTTAAAACTTGTAAATTTTCGTTTTCTTGGTACCAAAGTTTGATTTTTGTCGTTTAAAAACCTTTTTTTCGTCCAAACTTCAACTTTCTGTCCATTTTTCGCCCGGTCTTTGATTGGAATTGCTTGATCTCTGTCTCCTCAGGTACGCCTTGGATGTTGCTCTAACTGTTCGTAAAGTTCCAGAGAAGTCAGAAGGCATCTATCTTGCTGAGACTCACCTCGGCGGAAGGAGGTACCCCACCTCCTTCCGCATCTTGGAGGGGAGACTTAATCACCCCACCCTCCAAGAAAAAGAATGGGGGAGATCACTCGAATAAACAATACGCAGGCATAATGGATTATTTAATTTATTCAAAGAAAAATTTGGCATAGCCCCATGTTCTAGGAGTGGGTACCGAGTTCCCCCTTCTCGGTGAGACCAAGCAGGGACTCGGTCCCACACCCCCGGGGAAGGGAAAGAATTCCCCTCCCCCAAGGTGAGTCTCTGCCAAGATACCTTCTGACTTCTCCGGAACTTTACGAACAGTTAGAGCAACATCCAAGGCGTACCTGAGGAGACAGAGATCAAGCAAATCCAACCAAGCCTGGTCTGAAAATGGACAGAAAATTGATCTTCAGCGAAAAAGGCTTTCAAACGAAAAAAGTCAAACTTTGGTACCGAGAAAACGAATATTTACAATTTTTTAAAGCAAAGCAGTCTGCGATAAAACGGTACACTTTTCGAAAATTTAACTTAGTTTTGTAAAGCATTTTTTCAAGTTTTACAAATAAAAATCAAGTTTTAGCCAAAAACTTATAAAAGATGAACAGGTATGACAAAATCTGAATCCAAATCACCTTTCAATGTTTTTTTTCTTCTAAAAAATTAACTATCATTACGATTTTGATCCAAAAAATCGTATTTTAGAACTAAAAATCTAATTTATTCCATTTTAAAAGTGGCATTTTATCAAAACTTCAAAAAATTCAGATTTTTGGCGAAAAATTAAATTTAGTCAGCTCAAAACTTTTAGAATTCTAAAGTAATGACAATCTGTAACTTTTCATCAGACCTGCCACGCCAACCTTGCTCTTGAACCTCCCTCTAACATAGTAAAGTCCCAAATCCATCAGAAGGGAGAGCTCGTACAGAGACTACCTCAACAACGCGGTAAATAAAGGTAATAACACGCCAAATACAAAGAACTATATAAAAATGACAGAGATTCTATGCCCTAAAGATTACGGGCTGACGACAGCTTGGCTCAGCTTCTTTGATGATCTGGTTGGGCACTTGAACCATCTATACCTTGAAGATGATCGACGTTTGAAGCGTTTTGAACATTATATCACATTAATAGCACCTTCGAGCAACTTCTGAAACACACATCTATTATCTAATATGAAAGCTCAAAAACATTGAAAAATTTCTAAATGTTATATTATCCATGACACATCTCATGTCAAGCTTAATATTTTACAAATAGGAATCATAAAATTTAATATTTTAGTATTAAAATGTGACAAACACAGCAAGGATTGCTTAGTTATCATAACACCTTCCATAACAAGCGTTTACTTTCTAAATTTTTATATTATCCATGACAATAAACGGCCATGGACAACATCAAATTAAACCCGAAAATTTGAACTCAATTGATAAAATATAAGATACCTTAACTCTAATCCCTTTTCGACTATAAAATGATTAAGAAAAGAAACTTAGAAAAGCCGTAGAATCCACAATTGGCTACACTTATCCACCCATCCACATTTCGCACCAACGATAAGGTTTAGAACGTTGATCCTGGACGCCACCGTGCTTGCCAAGCCTTGATTTGATGCTAACAACATCGTTCAGCCTTCTTATCCGAATTCCGGAAAGTCGTATGATCTACAGCTCCTAAAAAATAAAAAAAAAGTATATTACCCACCAGATGGATATGTATACCTATTTAAGAACCTTCCAAACTAGCCTAAAATCACAAAAAACAAATAAATATTCGAACTTACATGTAAAACAACTTGTCGTAGGTCCAGTTAGCCGTATTATATGGTATTTAAGGTAACATCTTGTCCGTTCTATCCAATTTGGTCAGGTCCCTCGGCAAGATGAAGATGTTCTTGCGGCCATAACTTTCAAATCCTCCGTTTCTTGATCGTTAACTTGGCTCTAAAACATGTTAAATATACAAAACGATTATAATAGATTTTTTATAACCCTTATAACCATCAATCTCGCGCAATATAACATCAGAAAGATTATATTAAGTTAACCTTACTCTCTAAAACAAAACCAAATTATTAAAATCCTTAAAGATAAAATAGCTTGTGATATAACAAAATGCATCTAAAGCCCCACTATCAAACATAATTTCACCTTAAAATGCCCCAAAATATAGCTGAAACCCAAAAGTCGCAATTTATCACCTGACGCCTAGTGTAATATCCAAAATTGGTCATTTCTCAACGATCCTTCATGCATTAACAAATCTAACCGACATTACATTTTCCTCAAACCCAAACCCTTCTAACAGCGTCAAAATGCTCCAAGATTTGATCCAAAATGACATATATAACACTAAACTTAACTTTCGCATCAATTATAACAACAAATCCTCCTTTTTCCCTCAAAACTTCTAAAAACAGAACAAAAAACAAAAACATATACCTTTTAGCGTCTTCTACATCCACCATCAGTAGTTTAGGCTCCGTTTGATGCGTTTCCCATCTTTTCCATCATTCTACATCTGCGACAATGCTCGATCTTCATGTTGAACATGATGAATATCCTGCAAAACAATATTTTAAAAGGAAAGTGACAAGTAACATTCATAACTACGGAAAAATTTTAAAATTTCAGGAGGAAAAGCGATTTCCCGCACGCGCAAAGTTCAAAGATTCAATTGAAATGACTTCTTCCGGCAATCACTCGAACACAATGCCAAGGTTCGTTTTCGTGGTGGGACCTTTTTGAAGTGGATGTGTTAAACTTGATATTATAGAAAGGCACTGTAAATTGATGTGAAATAACAATTTTTAAATAAAATTTGTTATTTGAATTTTAAGACTTGCGCCGATAGTTTAAGCCGTCCGCCGGGGCTCCGCCAAACCTTCGCAATCATTTGAAACCCCGAATTTTGCAAAAATATTAAGAAAATGTAAAATTTCAAGAGAACCAATTCCCAACCAAAAATATCTGTCATTTCGATGAAAATGCTAATTTTTGAAGATTCGTAACGACCTTGAAGTGCAACTTTAAAATGTCAAAATTTGCACAAAAAAACGCACAGGTCGGAACTGCAACTGTGCCAAAAATCACAATTGCGGGATGCGTAGTTGAAAATATATAAATTATTTCTGACAACGGAATTTCGTGAAACACCCTGTACTAACAAACTTAAAAAATATTCAAAATTGACAAAAAAATCAGTTGAAAGCCCTTTATTTACCGGTTTTAAAGCTATAACATCACAATAACCTCAAAAAGATTAAAAAACGTTAAAACAACATAACTAAAATTACAACATCTAGCTTTAAAAAAGACAGTTTTACAATAAAATAATACCCGCAATGACCAAAAACACCGAATCACCTATTTACATCTTGTTTTCTGTAGAAAATGACGTCAAAAATAAGAAAGGACGCAGAGATTTTTCAAAAAAATGCAAAAACATATCAAACCTGACGTAAGAAAAATCTAAAATTGCGTTTTCTGGATGAAGCAAAGACTGTTTTACAATATTATAATACTTACAATTACAATAAAAAGTCTTATTTTTATGATATGACTCGTTTTCTAACCATCACAAGACCAAAAATTCAAAAAATGTACAAGTTTCGCACAGAAAATGCCAAAACATATCCAACCTGACGTAAGAAAAATCTCAAATTGCATTTTCTGGATGAAGTAAAGACTGTTTTACTATATTATGTTACCTAAAATAATCTAAACAATCTTATTTTCATGAAACGACGGATTTTCCTGAGCCTCACAACATCAAAAATCTCAAAAAATTACCAAATTTCGCAAAAAAATGTCAAAACATATCAAACCCATATAAAAAAAAACTTCAAAATGAAATTTTTAAATACACAAACCACTGTACTACAATAATAAATTACCTATAAATATCTAAAAAGCCCCTATTTCCTCCTAACAGCCCGTTTCCTGCTCAATCCAACATCAGAAATCTTCCTCATAGGCCTGATGACATAGTAAAAGTTTAATGGATTAGGCTTAGTGTTCTTGATCTCGATAGGTAAACCCTCGAAGCTCATGACAAGACTCGTGGGTACCATGACAATGCTTTTGAAGAAGTACATCCAATCGACTTCATTGATCTGATCAGCCAAAATCCTCAGTAAAATGGCAAATTGAGGGATTTCCCTGAGGCATTTCAACGTGAAATATCGTGCCTCCATGACCTCGGGCTGTACGATAACAAAGTGGTACAGCATGGGATACTTTTCTTCGGGCACGTCCTCGGCTTCGATTATGAACTCGTCCAGTGGGTTCAATCTTACAGTATCCAGGTCGATCCGCCTCTCCATTGGGAACTCTTCCAGTACGAAGTGTGCCACATCCAACATACGATCCGATACTGTATAATACGTGAATTTCTTGTACTCTCGGACTGCACAGCCTCGATCGTCAAGAACGCGAAGTTCGTATTGACAGCCGGTTCTACCGTATAGGGTAGACTCGAGCACGACCTTGAGGTAGTCGTTAGTACTGTAACGTTCGTCCAAGATTCTTCGAGATCCGTCTGGGTATAGAGACTGAAATTGGTAAAATAAGATAGCTAAGACTTGGCAAGAACTTTCTTTACAAAGCGAAACATCTTATTCATCGTATAACCTGCCACCTGCAGGCTGCACCGGGCTTTATTTTGACTTTTTATGTAAAAAATGGCAAGAACTTTCTTTACAGAACAGGCAAAAACTTTCTTTACAAACCAAAAATGGCAAGAAGTTTCTTTAAAAAACAAAAAATAGCAAAAAATTTCTTTACAGACATTAAGATGGCAAGAACTTTGTTTCCAACTTACATAAGAGTAGGTTTGAGGTAGAAAAGCAAAAATGTAATGAGATCCAACTTCAACATCCTGATACAGAAAGCCTCGTTCATATTTGTCATCCTTGGAGTAGGTAAAGTCATATAAACTGTAGAACTCTTTCTCCAACTCTCGGTTATTCATTATCTCTCGTAATACTTGGTTCACTGTGCTTATCGAAGGTACTTTTACTTCTGTGTTTTGAATATCCAATTGTCCCAAACCATTCGGACAGAAGACTAGTCTACATGGTACTGTCTGAAATAAAAAAAAATTAATTTTTTAAATTTTTTTTTAAGATTTCGAAATTTACCCTACCCTACATTACTCTACCCTATCCTATTCTACCCTACCCCGTTCTACCCTACACAACCCTACCCTACCCTAACCTACCCTACCCTACCCTACTCTACCATACCTACTCCACTCTAATCGCCCTGCTCTGCCCTCTTTCCACCCTATCTTTACCATCTAATGCTTTACCATGCCCTGCCCTCACTACTTCTACACTACTCTGTGCTTCGTCCTGCCCTACCTTTTCTTCACCCTCGGTTTACATTAACTATCTTCACCGCACCCTCATCCTTCTCTACCATATTCTATCATACTTTACTCCAACTTCCATCACTATCTAAGCTAAGCCTAAAATTTATTTATAAGCCTAAAGGTTTATGCCAAGCCTAACACTGAGTGCTATGTAAGCCTGAAAGGAGGCCGGACCGGCACACGAAAGAGCCCGATAGTCGGAAATTAACCATGTCTGGCCTCTTTGCAGATCTAGTGCTAAGCCTAAATCTACCTGTTAAGCTTAACTAGTAAGCCCTATCTAAATAATTTTTAGACTCAAACTACAAAATTTAAAAAATATTTTTTTGCAAAAAAATTAAAAAATCTTGATTATTTTGCAGAGAAATTCTCGGAAAAAACATTTTTCGGGTTTTTAGTGCCTTCCCCTATTAGGATAATTGACAGTTTTACTAATTTGGTGTCAAAAAAGAATGGTTTTTATACATTCCGAACTATCTTTAGAAGCTTAAAGTAAATGTCATTTTTGTTCTGTGTACAAAATGACAGTTACTTTAGGCTTCAAAAATGTTGATACCACAAAAAATTTAAATTTAAATCTTAAAAATTTGAAATTCTAAAAAAAAATAAAAAATTTCAAAAAAACTTACAATTTTACCCATATTACTTCAATACGAAATACAATTGAAATAGCAGTGCGTAAAAACGGCAGAATCCGAAAGTTTATATTGTAGTAGCTGAGAAATTAAAAAATCATCAAGGTATCGAGTTCAAGGTTCAAAAACTGTGTGTGTGTAACTTCAAAACCTGAAAAAGATTAAAATTACAAAAAAAAGTACCGTAATAAATTATATGCCTTCTATATTTATTTATTAGATCCATGCCTCACATCTATTCTACACAACCCTACCAGGGACGTCGCTACGGTTTTTCTCTGGGGGGGAGTCACCCCGAACCTTTAGGTAGGATTGTACTGCCTGCGAGGTGTTATTCACCCTGCAATTGCTATATAGACCAGACCCTACCCTAGTATAGATTACAGTGCTACACCTTATCCTATCGTCCTACACCTTAGCCTACCATACCTTATTGTACCTAAAAACATACATTTTGCCACAATAAAGCACCACTTACCATATAATACACTGCCTACCTCACCCTTCTCTTACTTAATCTACCGTATAATGTCACCGTACCCAATTGAGAAGCCAGAATTTAGCGTACCAACTTCAGAATTTCTCTACCGTACTCACTTCAAAACCCTTAAAAAGCTAACTTACTAGCCTCTGAATCCTTAAAAAGCCTGTTCTACTATCTTCAGAAGCTCAAAAAACGTACCGTACTATCTTCAGAATCCCTAAAACTCCACCGTGCTAACTTCAGAATTCCCAAAAACATATCGTACCGCCTTTAGAATTTAAAAATTTACCATAAAAACTCCAAAATTAATTAAAAACTTTACCGTAACGTCTTCAGAAGTCGAAAATCCAACGTGAGAAAGAGAGTTCAGAACCAGTCGGAATAGCAGTCAAAGCTCTCGTCGATTGTCGTATCTTGATGTAGATCTTTCCAGTTCACTCTTCACGTTTCCAATGTGAACGGCGTTTGTTACTCTGTAAAGTGAGTTTGTAGACGAAAATGACACAAAACGTCACAATCAGGTCAAATTGAAATGGCAGTGGAGTTTAGAGGCTGAGCTTAGTTTAAAATGTCATTTATAGTACAAGAAGATGCGAAACGGCGTATTTTACAAAAACTTTCGTTACCAAGTGAAAAATGGCAGGAACTTTCATTACAAAGCAAGAAATGACAAAAACTTTCTTTACAAACAGAAAAACCTTATTATTCGTATAACTTGTCACCCGCAAGCTGCAAGTAAACCAAAAACTGAGTTTAGTTTAAAAATAGCAAGAACTTTCTTTACAAAACATAAAATAGCAAGAACTTTCATTACAAAACGAAAAATGGCAAGAACTTTCTTTACCACGCAAGAAATGACAAAAACTTTCTTTACAAACAAAAAAAACTTATCCATCGTATAACTTGTCACCCGCAAGCTGCAAGTAAACAAAAAACTGAGTTTAGTTTAAAAATAGCAAGAACTTTCTTTACAAAACGAAAAAATGGCAAAAACTTTCTTTACAAAATGAAAAATAGCAAGGACTTTCTTTACAAAATAAAAAATGGCAAGAATTTTCTTTACAGAGCAAAAAGTTTTTTTTCGTACAACTTGTCACCCGCAGGCTGCACCAAGTTTCGTTTTGCTTTTTAATGTTAAAAATGGCAAGAACTTTCTTTACAAAATAAATCCAAGGTTACATATAACAATATTTTCCCAATATAAATTAAAAATCCACCCAAAAAGACCCTTTTCCCAGCTAAAATACCCCTCCCCAACCATTTTTATACAACGAAGACAAACGTCAGACAAAAGAAGTAATTGTAAAGAAAGTTTCAACAAGAAACGCCTCACTTTACAGCTCTTATCAGTTCACTTATCGCTACACCTTTTTCACATTGTATTTCACCTTCCCTGCCTAGTAAAGGCGGCGTGGTCAGCGAATGACAGGTACAAGGTATAGTAATAACACCATCGATAACCCGGAACTGAATCATCAGAAGATGGAAGAACATTCATTCGAGATAACAAGGTTATTTGGAATGATATAGTAGATAGTTTGTAAGCACAGCTTTTGAACTCAAAACACAATTTTAAATAAGCCTTAACATAAGATTAAGTTCAAAACTAGAGGGTGCGCCAAAAGTTCTGTTACACGGTTTTTAATTTGTAAATTTTAGGCTTAAAATTACAATTTTAAACTTAGCATACGGATTTAAGCAGATTTTGATACTTTTTAAATTTTAGGCTTCAAAATAATTGTAAGCTCAGCCCACAATTTTAGGCTTAAAAAACAATTTTAAGCTTAAGTCACAATTGAGGCCTAGAAGACACTTTTCAAACTGAGCTCGAAACTATAAGGTTAAAAAAGAAGTTGTAGGCTTAAGACCCAAATTTAGGCTTAAGAGTCAAATCTAGGCATAGAAAACAACTTTAGGCTTACCACAGATATTAAGAAGGTAGGCTAATATACAAATTAATAACTTTGATCTTTTGTCTACCTTGTTATCATTTTTCAATAACATAATAACATTACTGCTTATCAGTTATGTAGTAAACACGTGTGAGTATTCCCCGATCAAACCAAGGTCAACATACCTTAGCTATGCCGTCAGACATTACAACATGACATCATAAAAATGAAAAATTTCAAATAACTTTAAACTTAAAATTTCATTTTATTACCTCTACTACCAATTACTGACGCCATATGTTCTAAAACGGCAGTATCAAAAAGTCAAAAAAGTCTTGTCGTCAAAATACATTAGTTTACATAATGAAAAACGACAAAACTTTTTAAACGTTACAAAATATCAGAAAATCCACTTTCCCCTCCCCCCCCCCTAAATAAAAATAAATTTTTCAATTTTTCGACCCAAAACAGGTCACCTTTGATGTAAAAAACGATAACATTGACTATTTCCTGGTTGTAATAACTGATGAACAAACAATAAAACCGTTCCTTTCTCGGAATTCCCACTGATTTCTTGATAAGAAGGGGTTCACTTAACAAAATACAAAGAAAGGAACACTTTTTAAAAGTCTGTCTGGGGTTATTTTAGGTACAAATGTGATTGGAAAGAGTTGTTAAACTAATTGGTTTCTCAGAAGAAGAGGGGGAAGGGGAGGGAGAGATAAGAAGCCTAACGTTTTCCTTGCTAAGCCTTAAAATTATGTTCTAAGCGTAAAATTGGGTTCTATGCCTAAAAGTATGTACTAAGCTTAAAATTGACCCCTAATCCTACAATTTGACTCTTAAGCCTAAAATTTGAATCCTAAGCCTAAAATTGAGCCCTAAGCCTAAAATTTGACTTCTAAGCCTAAAATTTGACTCATAAGCCTAAAATTGACCAACTATTTTATACCTAAAACAAGGCACATTTACTAATTTAAAGCATTAAACTCATAAACTCGAGTGTGATAAGCTCTATCTTGTGATCAATTTTAACGGTTCCTAACAGTTTTACAACAAGGAAGAACACATTTTAGTTGTTTTAATCAAGAAACGTTCCTTTAATGGAAAAGCAATAAAACTGTCAGTGTTTTGACTTTTTTTCGGTTCAAACGACAAATAATATTGGTTTAGAGTCCAAAACAAAATTGTTCTTTTAATATTTCACGTTTTTAGGTAACAAAAAGAGGCTGGCAACTAATATCAACCAATAGGAACGGTTGAATACCAAAAAAGTTTGAGGAAAACTCGAAAAAAGCTATATTATAGTAAGTAAAGCCTTCGAATTTCAAAATTTTAACCTTTTTAATGAAGTAAAATAAGATTCTCAATATCATAATTAACTAAAACCTCATAAAAAATTAAGTTTTACCTATAACACCCAATGGAAACCTCAAAAATCTTGAAGAACCGCTATATTATAGTAGATAAACCCTTAAAACTCCTTCGTTTCAACTCTGAAACAAAACGTTTTACCTTCTTAATCAACTAAACTACAATTTTCAATCATATATTAAACTAAAATCCCACAAAAAGATTGAGTTTTAGCTATAATTTTCAACAGAAAGCAGGTTTTTGTTACCTAAAACCTGTTCAACTGTCAAAACTTATTGAAATCCACGTAAAGTCAACTTTAAAATGTACCTAAAATCACAAACAAAAAAAAGAACAACTTACAAATTTTTTTGCATCCATTGAGTTGATGAAAGTGACAGAATTTGGCTTGGAATGTTGTTGTACCAAGAAAAATCCGCGGGAAAATCGGAAAATTGATGCTCCAATCAAGTTATTGGTCATTTTATCCATGGCAAGGTAGATTTATGGATTGTAAAAGCTGTATAACTAAAGTAAGATTCTATTTTAACTTATATAAGCCAATAAAAACACGGAAAATCAAGAACAATATATTATTTTACCCTTCAAACCTTGGTCCCCCGATATTATCCACGAAAAGCCCACTTTTCTGCCACTTTTCAATAAAATAAACCCAAATAAACGATCCCAAAACCAAATATACATATCAAACTTTATTTCAAGTTACATATAATAAAAATATAATTACGTTTCGAATATGTTTTTTCAAGAAATATGCGCAAAAATAACAAAATCTCAACAAAACATCTACACTTTTGATATATATTGGAAGTTAAAGCCAACGTATGTTGAAAGGAGTCTTGTTTAGCCATGACAATAGTAGTTTAGGTATCAGATCAAACGAATTTAACTGGAAAATGGGTCAAAAGTTCTCGGAAAAGCTCGGGAAATCGAGGGAAAATGGGGTTTGCACGGTGCAAAGGAATTAAATGTTGCACAGTGCAAGGGAATTAAACGTTGCACAGTGCAAAGGAATTAAATTTTGCACGGTGCAACGTGATAAACTGTTGCACAGTGCAATAATAAATAAACGTTGCACGATGCAAAAACTAAAATTCCGAGAACTTTTGAAAAAATAAAAAATCGGTCAAAAAGTCGAAAGAACAATCCGACCGGGAACAGGAAATGTCAGAATTATGCCGAAACAAAGTGAAGTTACAGTAGTCATTGATACAGTAGGAAGAAAGAAGTTTGTTATGTCGAGACCAATAAAACAAATTGCGAATGATATAATAGCAAGGCCTGAACAAGGTTAATGAAGGGAACAAGGGTTGGAATTGGTACAATTAAGGCAATGGTACTGTTGGTACACTGGGTGGTACATAAAAAAAAATTTACAAAATTTAAAAAAGTCACAACAAGGCCATATGACCATGTCACAACCCATCAAAGCCATATGAACAAAAATCGACCGGTCGATAAAATTTTTAACCAAAAAAATTTTTTTAAAAATTCATACAGAACTGCAAAACCTACAGTACCACCCAACAAACCAACATTTAGGTATGCGTTATAACAAAGTTATGGCAAAAACAAACACAATTACATAGACAATATAAAGATATATGTTTTGGTACGTTACAGTAAATATAAAAGTATAAAAAATATAAAATTTTTTTAAAATTTGAAAAAAGTAGGCTTCGGATGCGTTTCTAAGTATTTTTGGGACAACAAAATAGTTAAAATTCTTAAAAAATTAAATTTTTATAAATTTTGAAATTTTAAAATTTCGAGTTTTAAACGTTTGCACCGTGCAGCCTTATTTTGGCTGCACTGTGCAGCCGTATTTTGATCGCACTGTGCAGACTTATTTCATTGCACAGTGCGGTCTTATTAGGACTACACCGTGAATTTCCATATTACGTAATTTCACTGTGCAATGTCGTATTGCGTAATCGCACAGTGCAGTCTAATATTCGCTGCACTGTGCAATTTACTTTGACTGCACCGTACAGTTTCGTATTACGTAATTGCACGGTGCAGTCGAAATAAGAAAAGATTGCACGGTGCAAAAAAACTAAAAACTAAAAAATTTTAAAATTTTAAAAATTCTAAATTTCAAAATACTTCCCCTCCCTCAACCCCAAAAAACTACAGTAATCAAAAAAACTCTTCAAAAAACTACAGTACTCAAAAAACCGCCTCAAAAAGTACAGTACCCCCTACATCAGCCCCATTTCAGTCAGACTTTCCTTCTGTAGTTTCAGGTACTGTAGCTGTTTCATCTCCGTCTCCAGCTCAGCATTCCTCTTCTGCACCAGCTTCAGCTCGGTATCAGCCTCTAGCCATTTGATCTGAGCGATCAGCTTCTCACGCTCCAACTGGTTCAACTCCATCTTCTCCACATTACTGGTACCGTTCATTAGGGACAGCCGGCGGCGTTTCAACGACGAAAATGCGGGGTTCGGGGTGGGGATGGGCGCGACTCGCAGCGTCGGCGGTGAAGTGTCAACCTCGAGGTCCTCGTTGCAACTGTCCACGACCTCTTCTTTGTGTTGTTGAATCTGAAGAGAATAGAGGTTTAGATATTGTTTTAGGTCGTTCAAATAATAAAGAATTAGTAAAGAAACTAAGAACACGCTAAATAATGTCATTTGGATATAGTGATCATAAGATAAGAAATCTCAAGAAAAGCAAAGTTTGTAAAGAAAGTTCTTGCAACTTTTTATTCTGTAAACAAAATTCTCGCCATTTCTTACATAAAAAGCAAAAATTAAGCCTGGTGCGCCTGCAGGTGACAAGTTATAGGATAGGCAAGATTTTTTGCATTGTAAAGAAAGTGTTTGCCATTTTAAATTCTGTAAAGAAAGTCTTCGTAATTTTTTAATTTGGAAAGAAAGTTCTTATTATTTTAAGTCCTGTAAATAAAGTTCCTGCCATTTTTCATTCTGTAAACAAAATTCTCGCCATTTCTTACATAAAAGGCAAAAATTAAGCCTGGTGCAGCCTGCAGGATACAAGTTATACGATAAATAAGACTTTCCGCTGTGTAAAGAAAGTACTTGCCATTTTTCGTTTCCGAAAGAAAGTTCTTGCAATCTCAAATCTTGGAAAAAAAGTTCTTGCCATTTTTTCGTTTTGTAAAGAAAGTTTTTGCCATTATTCATTTTGGAAAAAAAAGTTCTTCCAATCGCACGTTGTAATAAACAAAAAGAAGATAACCCAGTGCCTCCAAGTTAAATAAACCATAATTAATAAAATATAAGACATCCTACACCCTCATAAATTGAAAAAAACACTCCCCCCCCCCAAATCAAGCAGTTTCAAACAAAATTTTGTGAATCCGTTTTGAGAACCAGCCGGCTGCCTTCAGTAAAGCGATGAAACGGTGTGTGAAAACAATATTTTGACAAAAAATCGTTTTTTCTTCTAAAAACAGTCAGTCGCCTTGTTTCTCTCTCCCATCCCCCCTCCCCCACCCTTTTGAATTTAGATTAGGCGCGACCCACAATATTACTTTGTCATTATATAAAAAAAAGGGGGGGGGATAGGGTAGGGTAGGGTAGAGTAGAGTAGAGTAGGGTAGGGTAGGGTAGGGTAGGGTAGGGTAGGGTAGGGTAGGGTAGGGTAGGGTAGGGTAGGGTAGGGTAGGGTAGGGTAGGGTAGGGTAAAAGAAACCCCCAAAAACCTTTAGGCAACCAATTTCAGTTAGTTGGCAGTGGCCAAATTGAGGATGATTCCTGCAAAAAGGGACCATCAGACGTTTAGACATTTCCAATACAATGTCATTTTTAAAAAAAATTTAAGTGACACTTAAAAATTTTGTTGATTTTAAAAAATTTGACAAATTCGAACTAGGTCCCTCCAAATTAAAATGTGAAAAAATGCCATACCTAAATGCAATATCCTAAATAATTCATTTAAGCAAGAAAAATGTCATAAAAACCAGAAATATTTTTTAGCTTTAACAAAAAATAGCATTTTTCAAAGATTTTTTTGTAAAAAAAAGACGAACTTGGTCCCCCCTGTGGACTTTTTTCAACAAAACGTTTTTGTAAAAAGTGTAATAAACTTGATGAAAAAGCGTTAAATTAAAACATAATGTGTTGTGCTAGATAGAAAAATGTCATAGCTTCAATAAATAATGGCATTTTCAAAAAATTTCATCAAAATTTTTAAAAAAATTAAAAAATTGTGCTTGGTCCCCCCCCCCTGTGGATTTTTTCAAAAAAAAAGTCAGAATAACCGTCATAATTTGATGAGACAACTTAATATCTCGAAATAAAATGTCACATAAGTTAGAAAAATGTCTTGTGAATTATAAAAATGTCATGAAAATCAAAAATATTCCATAGCTTTAACAAAAAATGGCATTCTCACCTGTTTGGTCAAGCTTTCAATACTCATCAGCAGCTCATCCTTCTTGTCATGGATGTCATTGGTCGTTATTTGGGTCGATTCCTCTGAACTACTGGCATTCAAATCCAAATGTGGCGCAAAGATACTATTGGGGCTGTGATTCTGAATCTCAGCCAGATTCTCCAACTTGAACTGTTCAAAAATCGACCGGTCGAGTAGTTTTTCATTCCCACGCCCCAATGCCTCTCTGATCAACTCGTCCAACTGGTCGAACTCAACAGTCGGATCACTGAGTGACTTTTCGAATTTGTGTTCAAATCGACGCCTCAGGTTCTGCCAGGTCGTTTTTCGCAAGAAATCGACCGACCGAAGCCCGTTGCAGCCGTAGGCAACGCACTGTTCGAAGATCATCCGCCAATTCTCCTCTTTGGCCGCGTCATTCAGCTGATTGTTCAGGTGGGAAAAGAGTTTGTAGCGATTGTCTCGGACCAACGTTAGGAAATACACTTTCGACTCCCAATTCATCCTGAAATGGCACAATTTAAAGTTGAAAAATAAAATTTGCGAAAACTTCGAAATTTTGAAAAATCGAATTTTTGAGGTAACAAAGCTGATAAAAACAATGTAACGGGACTACAGAACGCGTATAAACTACAAAAATTCAAAAAAAAATATTAAAAATTTAAAAATATTTTAAATTTCAATTTTTTTTTAATTTCGAAAATTTCAAAAAAATCGTATTTTGTACGCAACAAAGCTAAAATATCAAAACAATCACATAATAAGGCTACAAAACGCGTATAAACATCAAAAATTTAAATTTTTCAAAAACTCAAAAATTTAAAAATATTTTAAAACTTCCCTAAATTTCAAAAAATTATTAAAAATAGCAAAGACTTTAGCTACATAACGTCATTACAACTAAAATAATGACTAAAATACTCAAAAAGTTAATTTTGCACAGTGCATACAAGTCAAATTAGTCTGCACCGTACATTCCTTTTTGTTGGCTGCACCGTGCAATCATAGAGGGAACTGCACAGTGCAATTTAAAAAAGAGAGAGAAGATTGCACCGTGCAAAGAATAAGCGTTTGTTAAAAAATTTATAAAAATGACAAGAACTTTCTTTGCAAAGCATAAAATTACAAGAACTTTCTTTCCAAAATCCCCAAAACTAAAAAAACCTTCCTAAGAAAAAGCTTTCCGAGCTCCAGAAATAATAAAAAAGAAGTGAGAAAAGTTGATCATTTACAACTGAAAACGAGTATTTTATCGCTGAAAAGTGCAAAACATTTAGAGATAAAAACTTATTTTTCGTTACGTAATTGAAAAGTTACGAAATGTAACATAAAGAATGACATTTTGATTGGAATCACGTGTAAAGAAAGTTCTTGCCATTTTTCGGTTTGTAAAAAAAGTTCTTGCCATTTTTTATTCTGTAAACAAAATTCTCGCCATTTCTTACATAAAAAGCAAAAATGAAGCCTGGTGCGCCTGCAGGTGACAAGTTATACGATAGACAAGATTTTTTGCATTGTAAAGAAAGTTTTTGCCATTTTAAATTCTGTAAAGAAAGTTTTCGTAATTTTTTAATATGGAAAGAAAGTTCTTGCCATTTTTTGTTTTGTAAAGAAAGTCCTTGCCGTTTTTTGTTTTGTAAACAAAGTTCTTGCCGCTTTTTGCTTTGTAAAGAAAGTTCCTTCCAGTGTCCGCCCTGTAAACAAAGTTTTCGCTATATATCACCCAAAAACCAAAAATTGTAAAAAAATTTTGAAAATTCGAAAAACAAATAACCAGTTTTTGTAAATGTTAACCTCAATTAGTGGCTGACCGCAATCGAATCAAAATCTTTGTAAAACGAAAGCCGGCTCCCACTGACTGATACAAAACGAGCGGTCACAACTAACATAAGCTCGAGGTGGGGAAGGGAGAGAGGGTTGTAAAAAATGCAAAAACTTTCTTTACAAAACAAAAAACGGCAAGAACTTTCTTTACAGAAAATAAAATGGCAAAAACTTTCTTTACAAAATGAAAAAAATAAGAAGACCCCAAAATTACCCCGCCTTCGGTTCCAAACACAACAAAATTAAAATTGCTTATATCCATCCCAAAAAAAATCTTAAAAATGACCCCCCCCCCTTTTTTTTTAACATTTCTTTTTTCATTTTTACCTCCCCCCCCCCTTAACTTTTTTTTTTCATTCAACCCCGCCCCCCCCCCTTAACATTTGTTTTTCATTTTACCCCGCCCTCCCCTATCATAGCTCTAACTCTATATCCCTTCCCCCCCCATTTCACAAAATGAATATCCCCCTATTCTTATAAATATCCCCCCCCCCTTTCCAACTACCAAAAAGAAGCAATTTGTTACCTAAAACTTAACTTTTCAAAACCCCCCCCCCGTCCTACCCCTAATTCTACACATTCCGTCCCCCCTCCCCCTCTTTGCTTCTTTATAAAACCCTCAAACCCTAACATCATCCCTCTCTGCCCTTTCCCTTCAAGCTCTCCCCAAATTCCACCGGCCAAACCCCTGCCCTTTGTTTAGAACCGAACACCATCACAGTCAGGGTCTACACTTACTTGCCTCGCGCGCTGACCGCCCAAACAATCGATAACTCTTTGCGTTCGGCTTAGAGCTGACGGGCGAGGGGATTGTTTTGCAGAGGGCGGGGGGAGAGAGCACGGCGAACGAGGAGAGCACACTACACTTAACTCGGGCAAAAAAAAAAGACTACACATGTGATCTTATACTGCCTGCGAGATGTTATTCACCCTACAATTGGTATAGAGGGGTGATTGTGCACTACCCTATCATGCCCTACCCTACCCTACTTTTTTTTCTTTTGCCCTGCTCATGCCGAACCCATGCTCCGCTTTGCCCTGCCCTACCTTGCCTTTACTCTATCCTTGCCCACTATACCTTGCTTAACCCAAGCCTACAGCCTAGCCCCGCTATCAATACCTAAACTTAGCTCAGCCGGGCAAATTTACCCCTCCCATTTCTTGATACCACTCCCTCCTTCCTCCTACCAGATCTACTCTAACTTACAAATCTGTAATGGTTTTCTCACACGCCCTTACTTGCTCCTCCCTCCCTACCCAGTTTTTCCCCCCCCCCCCTCCTCACCCTTTATGCCATTTTACACCTTACTCTGAACTACCCCTACCCAATTTTAAATTTTTCATTTTACTCGCTCTACTGTAGCATTACAAATTCAGATTCACCCCCCCCTGTCCTGTCTTGCCCTTCCTTGTTTTGCCCGATCTTGCCCTACCCACTCCCCCCCCCCTCGCTTCCCCTACCCTAAATTTGACTTACCCTACTTTAACCTACATCACTTGCCATATCTTACTCGCCCCCTCCTCACGACCCGATTTACATCGTTTTCGCCCATCTTACACTCCCTCCCCGATCTGCCCTACCCTCCTGTTTTATGTTACACACTCCCCCCCCCCTTCGCCCTTTACATTCGCGATCGAGCGCCGACTCACAAAATCGTTTTTTCCCTCAAAATTCGGCGAAAAAAGTGGTGGGCCTGTCTGCTAGCCGCCCTACCCTCACTCACACTCGTCACACAGACAAGTACATCTCTCTGGATACGATTGGTCATCGGGTGGGGGATGGGTGTGGAGGGGGAGAGATATAGTGGTATGGCAGGGGCAGGAGGAGGGAGGGGAAGTTTACAGTGGTTTGGCATGGGTAGAAGTGAAGGGAGAGGGGGGGGGAAGGGTGAGGGGTAGTAGATGAAGTAAAAATGACCTTTTTAGCCTGTAAAGAAAGTTCTTGCAATTTTTCGTTTTGGAAAGAAAGTTCTTGCAATTTTCTGTTTTTAAACAAAATTTTTTAAATTAAAAAAGAAGTCCTCATTACTAGCCTCCCCCCCCGTCTACCTTTAAAAAAATCGCTTCCCTTCCCTGCCCCCCCCTGCCTTATTAAAAAACCAAGCCAAAAAAATTGGAAAAAAATGAAGTTACATTCCAAAGCATACCTTCAAAACGGTCGAAAAGCCCTTTACAGCCCGAAACCCCCCTTCCCCCAATCCCTCCGACTTACAATTGGAGGAGCGATGCGTCACAACCTTGATGCATAAAATTGTCATCAAGGCCGCGCTGAAGGTAAATAATAAAGATGTTGTCAAAGAGAAGGGGGAAGGGGGGGGGGCGGAATTTGGTTTACAGCCAACGCAAATAGACCTAAAGTCGTAAAAATGTCGTAAATGTGAAGGAAAGTTGTGATTGCGGAAGAGGACTGATTGCCAAAGGATTTTTAATAGTTTCAATTTTTTTTTATTTTTAGAAATGTCAAAAATTTGCACTGTGCAAGCAATTTTTATATTGCACCGTGCAGTCCTTATTTTGATTGCACTGTGCAGTTCTTATTTTATTACCGCACAGTGCAGTCCTATATTACGTAATTGCACCGTGCAGTGATTGTTTATCGTCACACAGTGCAGTATTTTTGTCGCTGCACTGTGCAGTTGTTCTGTTGCGTAACCGCACGGGTGCTGTATTTTATCACCTGTGCAGTCATTACTTATACCGCACTGCACGTTGCAACAATAAAATTTGTTCGCACAGTGCGAAAAAAAACGTTTTTGGATAAAAATATGAAAATGGCAAGAAATTTCTTTACAAAGTGAAAAATTACAAAAACTTTCTTTACAACACCTACAACGGCAAAAACTTTCTTTACAAAACGAAAATACCAAAAATGTTGTCCAAATACAAAAATTATTCAAAATCACACCTCACTCTCCTGCCCATCTTCTCTTACACCTCCCTCCCCAAAAATCGTGCAATTTTGCAACTACACCCCCCCCCCTCCCAAACCAATGTTATGTTTACAATTCGACAAGTAGCAGGGAAGACGAGGTCTTAAAGTTGTTAGCCTCGCCTCTTCCTTTGTTTCATATTGAATAACATTTTTTTGAGATTGCAATCGAAGTGCGCGTTGAGCGATGTGTCTATAGTTACACTCGAGTCAATAGGGCTGCTTTCTGTATTCTTGCGTTTACTGTTTACTGTCGGATTAATTAGTAGTCAGATGGGCTTTGAATGACTTATCAAAGGGGGGGGAAGGAACGCTCAAAAAGTCATCTATAAACTAAATTTTTTAGTTGCACCGTGCAGCCAAAAGAGCTTTGCACCGTGCGGATCATAAAAGGAATTGCCCTGTGCAGTTAGAGTAAAAAAATTGCACCGTGCAAAAAATAAAAAATGGCAAGAACTTTTCTTTCCATTCTTTACATGAAAATTTCGCAATGTTCGTATTTTACATTAAAAACCGAATGTAGCCCCCCCCCCCCCCCCCCCCCAATCTATTAAAATCAAACAAACAACGAGAACATTACAATCCCTCCAAAATGACATTCACAAATCGAAATGATGTTTTTTATCAAAATTACAATCAACGGAGAGGTATTATCATTCTACATTCCGAATTATGTAAATTACACTCGAACAACCATATATGAATTTAGTTTTTGGAGATCAAAAGCTGGTTTATATGATCAGAAAAAGTT